CCTTAACTCAACCTACCCTACCCTGTGCTATCCTACCCTACCTACCCTACTATACCGTATCCTATACCATCCTATCATAACCTACCTTAACCAGCTTTAGCCATGGCTAGGGATATAACTAGAGCTAACATTATGCTAAGGCTAGAACTAATACTAACGCTAGAGCAAAGCCTAAAGCTAAGAAAAGAGCATGATTACGTCCAAGAACAAGACCTAGTGCCACTGCCGCAAAAAAATGACTAAAATATTAAAAATTTTTTTTGTAAAACACTTATATGTAGTCCGGTTCATTAATATAACAATACTTTTAAACTATAACTTACCCAAAATTCTGGCCGTCCCACTCATTTCCAACAAAGATCCAATTGCTCGATTGTCCACAAAATCCCCGCTTTGGCCTGCAAATAAGTATTGTCATCAATTTTATCTTTTTATAGCGTCAATTAATGCCACAAACATGGTCATTATTTAAATTTTATCCTTAGGGCGTTGGCTTGCATTAAAAAAGATCCTAAAAAGCTATAAATGGCAATAACTTTTTTTACAGAACAAAAAATGGCAAGAACTTTCTTTACAAAACACGAAATTGCAAAAACTTTCTTTACGAAGCAAAAAAATAATAAGAACTTTTTTTCCAAGACACAAAATGACAAGAACTTCCTTTACAAGTCACAAAATAGCAAAAACTTTCTTTAAAGTGCAAAAATGCCATTTTTTATCAGACCTGAAAGCCAAAGTCACACATTCTCACATAACGCGGGTAGAAAATAAATAAAAGTAGCAGAATATGTGTATCTACTGGTTCGAAACTTGATTAAACGGAACCAACTCAATTTTACAATTCCTTCGAATAAAAAACAAATAGGGAGTTTGGGTGAAAACTTTGTTTACAATCGTTAAAAATAGCAAAAATTTATTTTGCCAAGCAAAAAAATGACAAGAACTTTCATTACAGAACAAAAGATAGCAAGAACTTTCTTTACAAAACAAAAAAGGCAAGAACTTTCTTTACAGAACAAGAAGTGACAACAATTTTCTTTACAAAAGAAAAAACCGGCAAGAACTTTCTTTACAAAACTAAAAATTCCAAGAACTTTCTTTACAAAGCAAAACCAAACACAGAATTCCTTTACAAATCAAAAAATTGCAAGAACTTTCTTTACAAAGAAAAAACTGCAAAAACTTTCTTTCCACCACTAATTTTTCCATCGTTTATCCCCAACTCTTCCAGTGCTACTTTGCATGCCAAATCCTGAACCTTGAGAGGTCCTCATAACCCCCCATAACTATGCCCTCGAGGCGTGTTTTAATAAACAAAACGTTTTTGTCGCTCAATTTTTCACAATTGGTTTCACTTCACATAAATCTTGGTATTATTCCGCAAGTGCCTTGATTTATTTTGGGCCACCACCCAAAATATGCTTACAAATTGCTCCAAAGTGGGCATTAAGTTGTTACAGGGAAAAAGAGGATTTTGAGAAGATTGGTAGGAAAAACAGAAAAGTAAGGATGATTTAGTGTTAATATAGTGATGTTACACATAAGATTTTAAAAAAATTTTAATACATAACAGAGATATTATAGCAGTAAAAACAATAAGAGACGAAAGAGTAAAGGGGAAAATTAAAAAAATAAAAAATCTACCACCCTGCCTGAACAAAAAAATTTTTTTTTAGATTTTGCCCTGCCCCACACCACCTGTTAAAATATGAAAATGATAGCCTTTCTTACTCTACAGTACCTTACCTTATTTTACCGTAATTTACTCTATCTTACCCTACTATGCTTGCTCCTTCGCTACGCTACCCCATCTTACTTTTCCTTTAACATAACATACCATACCCTCCCCTAACCTACCTTGCCCTATCCTACCCTACGCTCCTACTATACCATATCCTTTTCTAAAATACGTTGGTTTACCCTACTCTATTCTGTCCCGCTCCACCCTACACTACCCACCCTGCCCAACCCCACCATACCCTGACCTATCCTACCCTATCCCTTCTCTAACTACCCTACATAACCTAAAAAAAATAACAAGAATTTTGCAATTTACAGTGTATGTGCAATTGCATACATTCCACGTTGTTTACACAAAAAAAACAAACAAGTGTGGGTATGAACGTGTCAATGAAATAACTCATTTCAAGAAAGCGCCACGGGGAATGGAACCCGAAGACTGAAAAGAGGCTTCAAACAAAACAAAATATTATGAATGACATCCAACTATGTGGACATTGGTTTCGCGGCCGAGTACAAAAATTCCGAGTAAACAATCGGGTGTTAACGTACTCGAGAATTGTCGTCTTTAATGTTTTTTTCAGATTTTTTAAAATTTTTAAATTGTCTTTCAATTGTAGTGTTGTGAAAAGTTTAACGTGGGTTTAAAAATGAAACTACAAAAAATTGAGTTAGTCATGAATGACTATGTGTAGTGTCAATTAAAGACGATTTTTCGTTTTGCAAAGAAAGTTCTTGCCATTTTTTGCTTTGTAAAGAAATTTCTTGCCGTTTTTAGCTATGTAAAAGAAGTTTTTGACATTTTATGATCTGTAATGAAAGTACTTGCCATTTTTTGTCTTGTAAAGAAAGTTCTTGCCATTTTAAAAAATATTTTACGGCCTGTGAAAGGAAGGTAGCTCCACCTTATCCAAGCACTTTCTAGCGACGTCAACAGAGAGTACCAAGCTATACTTTAAAATTTTTAAGACTAAAGATAAAAACCTCAACTTTTACTGTAAAATTCAATAGTAAGTTTTATCATGAACAATTTTGTTACTTTCAAACCAGTCTCATCATTATACAACTAAAAAAAGAAAGTTCACACTTGAATTAGCTATAACAAAGCCACCCTCCCCTCCGCCACGATCTTCAGACTCGTTCTTTACTCACGTTTTCTTATTTATACATCATACTTGTACATGTACTTTAACAATTATTGTTAATCACCTATAACTGAGCTACAGACTTTTTCAACCCACTACAACAAACGCCTTTATTAATCCCCTACAACACTAACTTACAGACTTTCTTAACCACCTACAAGCAACATACTGACCTTCTTAATCATCGACAATAAACTAACAGACTTTCTTAAGCGCCAACACCCAACTTACGGACTGATCGCGACGGTCGAAGCAGATGCCGTTGCGGACTGTTAGTGCTGGCTCGGTGGCCTCGCTCCAGTGGCATTGTTTTAGGCTCTGAAAGCACAAAACAAAAGAACAATGCGTTGTGGAATCTTTAGCACGAAAAAAAACAAAAATACGACGTTTGGAGCCGCCAAGAAGTGTAAATGTGATTAAGAACGTGGTGTGCCAGATGGTAATTTCATCTCGGATTTCGGCAACACCCCCAACCCGAAGAGGGGTGTTGGATAACACAAAAAGCGTATAATTTGATTATTCGTCAGGATATATTATTCGAAAGAGTACGAACGCGTGAAAAATGTTGGAAACGTCGCGATTGATACTTATTAGGATTGACATGATGTAAAAAGGTATCTTTTCCAGCTTATAAATAATAAAACTACAGTAAAAGAATAAATAAGACTGATAGAAAATAAGAAATTACATTTACTAATAAATAAAAATAAAAAATTACAGTTACTGTAGTAAAAGCCCCTCTTTAAATAAAAATATTAAAAATTTTGAAAAAATATTCCAAACAAAAAATTATTCCACTGACCAAACCATAGTTTATATGTAAATTACTGTTGTTTCATTCCAAATATGACAATATTCGAATTCCCACGAGAGTCGTCGCAAAGTCAATTTTAATTCGGTCGAGCTTATTCTCTCCTCATATTCTTACAATGAAAGGAACATATAAAATAATTTGTAAAAAACCTTAATTTGGTAGTCTATTTACCATTACTCAAATTTAAAGTTTACAATTTCAAAGCAAAAAAACAAAATTTAAGTAATCTTAACATGTCGTAAATGTTGAGTCACAGGTGTAAATACCTAAGACGATCAAAGTCCATAGAAGACCAAATTCAAAAAAGGGTACAAAAATATAAGTGTAGATAAAGATTGCGCAATAGATCTCTACCCGTTGGCACTATATACAATATATATATATTTGTCAACCGGATCTTCTATAAATACCAGCCGATTAGCAATAAAGTTCACTATCGAAAGATAAACTGCTGTTAGCACCTCGCTTCAACCTGCTCTACATGAACAACTCCCTTCAAAAAAATAAAATGGAATTCACTATGATTTCTGTAAGTTTTAATAATGTTTCCTAATTACCATAACTTTTGATGCTCTTTCATCCCATATAAGTCTCGTTTTAAAAACCCAATGTCACATCCTTGCTAATAATAACCTAAAACGTATGATGAAAAAAGATGCTCATAGTAACCAATATTTTATTGTTCACTGTTTCAGACCTCATCTGCCTCAACCAGTACAGAATCGTTGAACGTTTTTGTTGATGAAAATGTAAAAGCCCATGTGGCCTACATTTTCAACAACTTGAGCGTTGCCAGCCTCGGCAAGAGCTGTACAGAGGTTAACCTTCTCCAAAGCCAAAACAGTACACTGATCTCTTGGCTAGCCGAATACCTCATCAATGCCCGTGTAGCCGTTGAACCAGTCAAACATCAACTCTACAACCAATTATTAAAAAAGTTGGACAATGAATACCTCAATGAAGCCGTTTTGACCAAAACATATCAGTCAATCAACGCCGCTTTATCAGCTTCGGAGTCCAGCTACGGTCACCAACAGATCTTGAAGAACCTTGGCCAATGGCTCGGCTTGGTCACAATAGCCCGTGACGAACCAATCCTGCTGGATGACTTGGAAATGAAACAAATGCTTCTCAAGGCAACCAGCCAAGGCCTCCTTCTTAATGTAGTGTCGTTGGTAACCAGCGTACTGAGATCGACATCACAATCCACAGTCTTCACCGTGCAAAACAGCTGGATCTACGGCATTCTGAAAGTCCTCGTTGCCGTTGAAACCCTGCCAGAAACACTACTGAACACAAAAATGGAAATCAACAAGTTATTTGAAGTGCTCAAAATTAGAAAAGAAGAAATCGACGCCTCCGCCATATACCGTCAATTGCGGCCTACGGCTTCAGAAGGCTCGAAAGTTCAAGAGACTGAGTCGCCAGACTTGATTAAAGAGATTGACACAGCTCTCGCCAACTACCAAGCTAGCACTCATTACCAAGCAGTCATCAAAGACGCCGTCGTCAAAGCTACACAAGACAACCTGCTGGAGTCGGTGAACCGAGCTGTAGACCCATCAGTATCTAAAGCAATCTACCTTATCAACAAAGACCATGCCATAGACCAACTCAAGCCTGAAGCAATCAAAATGATGGAAGAATTGATTACCAGCTTCACGCCAATGATTTGTCGTAAAGCCGTAGAAGAAGACATAGAATCAGAGCTACGAAGCCTTATGAAAGACAAAAGTTTATTGAAGTTCAGCCTGGACCAGTTTGTGGAAGATGCGACTGCAGTGACAACAAAAGTTAGTGTTGCTTACATCGCGAAGATGGCAATTAAAGAAGGAACCAAAGTCATGTATCCGCATTTTAAATAAAGAAATGTCCGACCGTGAAACTGACTGTGATATGAACTACAAACTGCCTCCACAACTAAGAAAAGTCCTCAACCCTGCAAGCCCAAAAGACATAGATGATGAAGAAGAAAGCCCCGAAGAAGAAGATGATTTCCAAGACCGAGCAGAAGCCGTTTATCGAAAAGCCATTGCCATTTTCTGTGAGCCGAGAATCGCCAACTTCATCAACCTTGGCTACAAGAATTTGACGCAAATCATGGAACGACACCGAATCGACCACACCGACGACAAGACTTTAAACAACTTCTTCGACGTCTGTGTCCAGATATGCTACACCGTGGTCAACCGGATCCTTGAGTTCAACAATGGACAAGTCAATGTCCTAGCTGAACATCAGTATTGTGTGGTGCTGGACACACTATGCAGGATGGTATGCTTGATGGTAAAGTTTTCGACAAAAAGAACCAGAGAACAAAAGATGGACTTACTAAAGGATGTTTTGGATACCGTGACAACATCAGTATGCAATCAAATGGTGGTTATGAGAACCGTTAGGAAGCTGTATAAAGATTTGACGACGAATGAAGAAACTTATCAACTAATCAAACAGTGCTTTAAAGAATCCCTTTGTTAATACTGCCTACCTTACTATAAATCCTTAGAAATTTCGTATTACCTTTACTGTAAATATTTATTTGTATCATATCGCATTACCTCTTTAAAAAAATTTTATCATCAATAAATATATAATAAATAATCGACACAAGCTAAATCATTAAGAATATAAAATATTGGCCTAAACTAATCAGAGTAGTAATCGGGCCAATATTATTAATCAGTCGTCGTAAAAAACGCAATTTAATGTGTGTATACCTAATAGCTACTAGAGTCAATTTTCTAAAAGACAAGACCAAGTCAAAACCTTCAAACTTGTTCAACACCATTAAAAAGTCCATCCTAATATAATATTATGCTGTTGAACAAAACAAAAACAAAGTCGTCAACAGATAGATAATGGTGGCAATTACATTATGCTACAAAAAACTTAAAAATTAAAGTACAGTTACTTAGTTTTATTCAGATCGTAAGCAGTAGGACAAATTACAAGCGTCTGTGAATTACTATCCTTTCTTTAATTAATTTCTACAGCTTCGGGTCCCTGTTGGCCTTGGGAGGGATTAACGTTGTCTTGGCGTTTCTTTTGCATTCGGTCCACCATTGATTTGGCGTAGGAAAGACGGCGTTGAATGTCGTGTGAACAGCCATTCTCAATCAGGTGTTGTAGTTGATAAGTCGCGCATTCTCGGTTCGGGTTGATGTAGGTGGCAGCTGTCATAGCGGGTGAGATGATAATCTTGGTGTGGTCCTGAAATGAACGTAATTAAAATCCGAATTCAAAACTTCAAAAAAATTTCAAAAAATTGAAATTTCTAAAAAAAATTCTGATTTACATAAAATTTTGATCAAAAAGCAAAAACAAGGTCCCGTATATCGACTAAATCTCTCTTTTTTGTCCACTAAAACAGACTTACATCAAAGAAGTTGACCTGAAGGGTACCATCAGTCATTAAAAATACAATGGCTGATGTTGTCCTGAACCAGATGGTCATTTGTGGCAAACGAGACAGTTCGTCACCCAACTTCCTCATGTTTTGACCGGCTGCCAACAAGTGTTTGGACATGTATCCACGGAAATACCTTAACAAAGTAAGCTTCTTCTCTAGCGTGTTCGGGTAGCTGTCCATAGTGTAGTAGTTCTCAGTGTTGTCACGTTCAGTGTATTGAATGTTACTGGAAATACAATACTTTTTAAGAGTTCAAAACTTGAAATTAAAAATATACATCAAGTGTAATTTAAAGACTTTTGACCTTATATAATCAACATCATTATAAAAAAATTTAAAAAACTCACGTTCCAACCCGATCAATAATAATCTTAGTCTGGTCGTTGAACATTACACCCACACTGTCGTCGGATAGCTGATACGATAACCCGTATTTGTTTGAGTAGTCCACCCATTTGGCAATCCAGTAAATTGGCGCGGCTGCTGGATCTTGTTCTTGTACATCCACTAAAACAATATAAATAAGTAAAAACTGATTTCCAAGCTTGCAATCAGACCATAAACATGACTACTAGTTAAAAGCTTTTAGTCATGATTAATAATAAGAAATCAAAGAAAATCATAGTAAGATATTATAAAAGTCCTTACTAGGAGTATCCCTCTTAATCTTTTCATCCGAAAATGGTACCAGTAGTCTAGCCAATTTTTCAATGTTTTCGGCCACTGTGTATTCATCTTGATCGCATGGCTTTCTCGTGGTGGCAATGACAACAGAAGCATCCTGAAAATCAAAAAAAGAACTTAACAGTAGGCTACAAAACAAAACCAAAATCTAAAAATTAGTCTAAAATCATATTTTCCCAAAAAAAATTAAATCCCACCCCCTAAAATCAAAAGTTTTAGTTTAAGTTTTACCCCTCCCAATATCAATAACACATAAATTTCCAGATTCTTTATCTAACAATCCCAACCCAACATACCTGTTTGACTCTTGGCGAGGAAGTGTCCATAATCTTGAGACCTCTGATGCCAGGTACCGGATCACCCAAATTCATTCGAGTACCATGTGGAATCAGACCACCACTTACTGCATCAACATTGAATCTTGGCGCATTAACCAAACATGAGGTTGGCAAGGCTTTGGGCATGAATCCGTCAGTAAAGAAGGGATGTGACCGGATTTCAAAAACATTTGGTCGATTCTCTGGGTTAGCGGCCAATAGAGCGCTGATCAGTTTGCATGCATCTTGACCAATCCTCTTTGGAATCGCGTACTCGTTGTTCTTGATTTTGGAGTAGGTTTGCTGAAGAAAAAAATAATTATAAAAACGTGGTTAAAATAGAAAAAAAGATAAGCTAACATAACATCTTGATGCAATTTCTAACGAAAAACCTAGAGTATAAGTGTAATAATGCAATGATTTGTTATTGTGCACCATCGAAACCACCAACCTCTCACAAATAACCTAGACGTCAACAAAAAAGCCAAAAATCTTACTTTAAGTGAATCCGTCTCAAATGGAGGTTTACCACAAAGTAAAGTGTACAAAATACAGCCAATAGCCCAGATGTCAACTCCATATGAATGTCCAGCTTTCAACAACATCTCCGGTGCAATGTAGTTCGGTGTTCCACAAAGTGTCTGCTTCTTTTGCCCTTCGAACTCGACTCTCGTGGCCAATCCAAAATCTCCAATCTTTACAATAAGTTCTTCGTTCAAAAACAAGTTTCCCAGCTTCAAATCACGGTGAATAATGTGTTCCGAGTGAAGGTATACGCACCCTGCGACTAACTGAAACGTTATAATTAATGAAAGTTGAAGAAAAAACTAATAATTTTAAAAAGCATCTATACCAATATAATCAAGTGTAATGTGCCTAGTTTTAATTAGTTCAAGCTTAACAAACAATAAAAAACCAATTTAAAACCTTAGGTTATTACAAAGACTAAAAATATTGCCAATGCGTAACATTCTTTTGTCAAAACTACAAATTTCTTTTGGTTATACCAAGTGTAATGTAATTCATCGTTTTTATAAGTATAACACTTTAAAGACTTTACAATATAAACAGCACTTTCACAAGCGTCACAAGATACACAAAGGCCTAAAATCCAAACAAAATATTCAGAATCCCTTACCTGATCAACAAAATATCTAGCTTCAGGTTCTGTGACAGTTCGTCGACGTTTACTCAATTCCATCAGCGATCTGCGTGAACACAACTCCAACAACACGTACACATTTTCTTCATCTTCGAAGTGACCCAAGATATTAACAACATTAGGATGACGAAGTGAGCTATGAATCTTGATCTCTTGGACAACCTACAACAATATTCTTAGATTCCAATAATTATAAAATGTTTAAAATATACCTAAAACATTAAAAGTAAAACAAAAAGTACCTTTTCTCGCTGACTTTTCTTCAACAACAACTGCTTGGAGATGCATTTACCGGCGTATACCTTATCATTTCTGAAAAGTTCATAACATCGAGCGAATCCACCCTTGCCCAAGAACTTTCCCCTATTGTAGCATACATCTTGGTCGTTAATCCTCCCCTTGACAAGCAGTGGGACTTCTTTCAACACTGGCTTTCCACGAGAGTCCGTCATACCTTCAAAAAAGCGGTTAATAAAGTTTTATCCTTATAAAACTGACGTTAACAACGTTTTAAAGAACTAACACTGATGGCTAGACATCTTAAAACCCTTAAAAGGCGTTTGTTAATTAATAAAATATAATTTTAAAAGTAATGTCACAAAAAGTTTTGACAAAGCGGCCAAAAAACATTTGGAAAGGAGGGAAAAGACTCGCCAAATGCGCAAAATCAGCAAAGACGGTTTCAAATTATTTTTGCCGCGCAATTGTTTTCGCGGTGGAACCAGACGAAAGCCCATGAGTTTAATTTGTTACTGTAAAAACAAATTGCAAAACTGCTAAAACTGGCAAAAAATATTCATATTTAGTTTTACAAAGAAATTTTTTATTACAAAGACTTAATTTTTCGAAACTTTTTTATAACTCAAAAATCATGTATAATATCATAGTATGCCAAACTGAACGAGAACTCAAACTTTATTGTTGTGAAAAACGATTAGTTAATAAAGAAAGCCACTAATTCCAAAATGGAGTGTAGAAAACTGATAAACACGTATGTTAAATGAAAAAACATGATATCGTGGTATATGTACATTACTCGTCAGTACTACCAGATGCCCCTTCAACCGGTTGGAAAATATTTGATGGGTGTGCGGGGTTTGGTCCACACGTGGTGCGTTGCATGAGGATGGGTTTCAGATGGCCTGGACAGATGCCCCACGGAGATTCGCCTTTGTTGTTGCAGATGTGAATATCGTGCTCGCCTCGGCACATGTACTTCAATGCCATTTCGCTCTTGGTCTTGACTGCCAATAGTAATGGTGTGTTGCCCTCGGCGTCTTTGATGTCTGCGCTTGCTCCCTGTTCTACCAGCAGCTCGATCGCCTTCCAATGACGATTTTCGGCCGCGTAATGCAATGGGGTTTTGGAGTTGGCATCTCGGGTGTTGATGATGTTAATCAGGTGTATGGTTCCTTTAGTTTCTTGGATGACTTTGAAGAAATTCCTCATCTGGAAATAGAGATTTTTGTCTTTTTACGACTTGAATAGAAAATTTTTTGTATTTTACCAAACTAAAACGAACTTACAGTCCCACAATGTCCATAAGCAGCCCCCAATCCCAAAGCCATCATCCCTTTGTAGTTCAACGCCAATGGATTGGCTCCAGACTGCAGGAGAACAGTCGCAGCGTCAGAACAGCCATTGCTCATCGCATACATCAACGGAGTCCATCCTTCTGTGTTCTGTACATTAACTTCGGCATTCAGCTTGATCATCTTCTGAAAATGTCATTTTCCATTAAGAACTTGAAAAATAAGAACAAAAATTCATAAAAATCTTAAAAAGAAGGTATTGTAGTAGCAAGCAAAGACAATATCAAGGATCAAATTCAAAATTTTAACGCCAAAACCCTTTTTTCACAAAAATTATAAGAAAAAAATTGATGTAAGTATCAAAAACTAAAAAATCCAATTTCCCTTACTTTAACGTGCTTTTTGTGGCCAGTGATAACAGCCGAAAACAAGGTAAAACTGTCTTCTGTGCCGAGCTGCTTCTTTGTAGGTACAAACGACTTCAACTCCCTGTCCAACTCCTCCAAACAAACTGTGTAAACCGGTGCCAAACCATCCTTATCCTTGGATTTTGTGTACTCGACGGCGGCACGGGAACAGATTGTAGTCAACATTGTTCAACCAACCCTTGGTTTACCTGAAATAACATCACTAGGTAAAGATAATATCAATAAAAATATTAAAAAACTGCAAAAAAAAGCTAAAAAAAAGTAAAAATAAAAAAAAGAAAATAAAGCAAAATAGCATATAAAACAAGATAGCAAGCTGTATAAAACAGTTAATCTTCAAAAACACCATTCATAAGATAATAAACTTTATTTCCAAACAAAAAACCAACGTTATTAAAGTGCAAACTAAGAAAAAAGATTGTTATTAAAATTAGGAATGACAACCATGGTTAAACCTGAAAAGCTATCAAAACGTAAAAGGTATATAAACAAAGACGATATTAATGTAGGTATGAACAGAAAGATGTTTTAGCGAATTTGGAACGTCACAATTACAAGCAACATCCATGAAACTCGATCTTAAACAATATCATCATCTTCACTATCACTCTCCTCTTCTTCTTCCTCCTCCTCTTGTGGCTGGTCGTGGTCAGGTTGGAACAAGTATCTTAACGTAGGCTTAACCACCTGGATCGGCAATTCTCCCTTATTGTTGGCAACATTAACATCAGCTCCGCCCTTCAGAAGCTGCTGAATTGTCATACGATCCTTCTTCGTCTTCACAGCCAACATCAAAGGTGTATTGCCTTCGGCGTCTTGTACATCCAGATCTGCACCATTCTCAATTAATACTTGAGCCGCTTGCCATTGAGAGTTTTCGGCCGCGTAGTGTAGAGGGGTCTTTTGATAAGCATCACGAGTATTTAGAGCCTCATGCAATGTAATTGACCCTTTCATTTCCGCCAAGGCTTTGCAAAAGTTTCTCAACTGAAAAACAAAGGTATATGATGTATAACATAAGATTACGAGCCAAAAAATTAAAACAGCGTCAACAAACCAACAAAAATTAAATAACACAATCAATTAAAAACTAATATATTAACAAAAACATTTAAATCTGCCCAAAATTCGACGAAAATCGTCGAAGTAAAACAATAAAGTTGTTATAGTAAAACATAACAGTAAAAATATTAAAATCGAAAAACCCACGCTCCCCCGGTGTCCGTAAGCTCCGCCAAGTCCTAGAGCATTCGTTCCTTTAAAGTTCAACACTTTGTAGTCGGCATTAGCCTTCATAAGCAGCGTCACAGCTTCAGAACATCCATTGGTCAAGGCGTACATCAACGGCGTCCAGCCTTCATGGTTCGCGCGATTAATATCAACTTTGTCGTTAATCATTTTCTGAAAACATTTAGTTGTCAATGGCAAACCAAACAAACTCATAAAAACTTGAAAAAGTGGACAAAACACAAAAATATATATCATCCATCCAAATCTAATACCTCAACATCCATATTTTAGAAGTTAAGCCAAACACCAACAAATAAAACAACAAAACATACCTTAATTTTATTAGAATGTCCAGTGATAACTGCTGAAATAATGGTAAAGCTATCTTCCTTTCCGATTTGGCTATCGACCGGACTGAACTGCTCCAACTCTCTGTCCAACTGCTTCAGAACATCCTCATAATAAGATGGCATCCTGTCGTCTTTAGCCTTTAAGTCCATCATGTTAGTAAATCTCTCGTTGAGACCAAACATTTTAGTTTACACTTAAAATTTCATAAAGTATTATAAAAACAGATAAATTTAGGTAAAAGTTGTCAAACGCGATATTACACTAGATGAAAAAACTGTTTTAAAGGAAAATAAAGATAAAGCTTCCCTAGAACATTATAAAACAACAAAAATATAACATTAAATACCTTTTCTAAACAGTTTTTCCAAAACTACAATCAACTAGGTTGCCAAAACTGAGCGAATGCACCAAAAAAGAGCTAAAACAACAGAGCAATGAACTCTGATCAAGACGCCAAATCTCAGACGCCTATTTTTACTATCGCCCCAGCTATAATAATACATCGCGACTATAATTTCTAGACTGTATATGACAGAGAAAAAAAAGTTATATAATCAACAAAGCGAAAAAAAATATTTTTCAAAAATTGGCCACTGCGCGAAGCAATGACAATCGATTTTAACACTTCGTCCTGACCTGTCCAAGCTGATTTTTAAAAACAAGGATTTCAAATTAAAGTTGTATATAAAAAGCTACTTCAGTACAAATTTATAAGCATCATTTAATATTTTTTATTGTTATGTACTCAATATTGTTTTAGGCTTATCTGACTAACATCATTGATAAAATTTTAAATTATGGTATTTTTACAGTAAATGCATAGTTATGGTAAAAAGACATTATTTTATGGTTCATAAACCTTATAAGATTACAAAATAGACGTTACAGTATACTGCAGTAGTTCTCGACAAAATTTTGTTTTCCGATAATTAATGTGACACTTCGTCTAATTCCACGTTCGCAAAAATAAATAAATATATTTTTCGAAAAAGTAGTAAAGTTAATTTTACTAATGTCTTCAGGCACAGCCGTTGCCTCAACGGCCGTTTGTGGTTTTAATACCTTGGTATTGATCTACGCGGTAACCACAACCGGCTCTTTACTGTTAACTGAATGTGCTTGGCTAAGTTTCTTCTCCACAGCCGTTCTTCTTATTGCTACGTACGGAGAAACCTTTGCTAGACGTCAGGGAAAGGCTGGAAAGTAAGTTCTCTATTTTATTTTTGTTTTTAGGTTTTTAAATTATCTGTAACAACGTTGACATCAAGATACTAACTACAATATAGCTATTTTCTCCTTTTATCTCGGTTTTTCAGATATACATATGGGTTCGCTCGTCTCCCAGTTCTAGCGGTATTTAGCTCGACTGCTATTGTACAATTATCAGCTGTCTTTGTGTTAAAAGAAAGTTTGGAGACAATATTGGACTTGGGGCATCATCATGGAGCTCATGAATCACATGCGTCGTTATTTTTTCTGTCTACTGTATTGGTTTCGTTATCCTTAACATTGGCAGCTTACTCGATTCCTCACAACCCTTTTAATCACGTTCTGGCTGCTGCATCTTCTTCTATTGTTCAGGTACGTTTATTTGTTTACTTTTTCTTGTTTAGGGATGGTAATGAAGTTGTTTTTTTGAAATTTGCGAAAGCATCAGGTTTGATGGCTTTTATAAATAGAAAGATGTTTTTTTTTTGTCTTTTAGATCTAATTTTAAAGATTTTAACGCTTTAACTTTTCAGGAACATGCAGCAGATCTTTCCCATGCCGTCTGTAGTGTAATACCTGGCTTATCCAGGCTACTATTGCCTCGAATCAATGCTCTATCCCTAATGGCATCTTTATCATCCATAGCTGTTTTCCTAACTGTAAATTTAATTGATGCATACGAATGGATCGATGCCATAAGCGCTGTTCTCCTAGCTTTAGCCGCTTTCTCTACAATGATGCCATTATCAACATACACAGGATTGATTCTGCTGCAAACTGTGCCAGCACACGTTAGAAATCAAATAGACAGATGTGTAGCTGAAGCCCAAACAGTGGATGGAGTTCTGGAGTTGCGGGAGACCCACTTTTGGCAGATTGACTTCAATCAAATCGCTGGTTCAGTTGATGTTAGGATAAGGAAAGATGCAAACGAACAGTTGATATTGGCTTCTGTGACAGAGAAACTCAGTGGGTTGGTCAATATTTTAACTGTTCAGGTAAGTAAAATGCTATTTGTTTTGTTTACCTTAGGGTTTTTGCTTCAAAGCGTCCTTTAATAAGCCAAGTTGGCATGGTGAAAATAATTTATTAACAAAAATAAAAAAAGCCAATTTTCCATACAAATTTTACACATTTTCAGGTACTTAAAGACGTGACGACATCCTGGAAGACACTTCATTCATCGGCGGGGCCACCACCAATCCCAACACAGGTTTATCATCATCCACAAGAACAACATGGTCATTCGCATGATCATGGCGTACATCATCATCATTAGGCTTCAATTTGTATATTATTTATTTATTTATTGAACAAACTTTAATTTTTTATATTTGCGTACATATTCTTTTTAAAAGGTGGGTTGGTAGGTAGTCAAGGGTTGATTAGATGTTGGGTTGAGGTAGATAAGGGTTGACTAGGTAGTGGTTTTATGTTATCCTTCTTCTTTATGGTTGTTTCAGCTGTTTTTAAGTCATATTGAAGTTTCTATGGTGTTATCAACAGTAGGATTTGCGTTATATGTTCCTATTTTCTCCCTTTTATCATTTTCTTTAGGTATCGTACCGTTCGGTATTGCTTTTTCAGTTAAATTAGCTGCTGAAATAGCCGTATCTTTAGCATTTTCGGGTTTATTAGAATCAGTTTCTACAGCATTTGTAGCATCAATTCCATCCAATTTTTGATTATTTGGTTTAGAAGTATGTTGTTGATCTTTTAAAACTTCGGAATTCCGTCTGCTAGATCTTCCAGAAGGCGGTTTGGATGACGGATTTTGAACTTCTTTACCTGAATTTGGACGTGCTTGGCTTTCTCTAAACGTGGAAGGCATTGTTGTACTTTCTTTTTGAGAAGGCGGTCTATCTTTACTAGAAAGTGGCAGAGAACCATTAGATTTTCTTGATTGGGGTCTAAAATCCTCTACTTTTTCTGAAGCCGCTGCCATTGACGGTGTCTGCGGATCAACCGGTTTGCCTGACGGAGGCCTTAACTCTTTCAGTTGTCCTGAATTGGGCCTTGATTGGTTGTTAGGCTTAGATAGATCGTTAGAAGCTGGTTGACTCTCAACTTTAGGTAATTTGTCAGAATCTTGATTTTCAAGCATAGGCAAGTTAGCAGGAACTTGAGCATCAATCGTTGGTAAATCTACAGGTTTGTCTTTCTCAATAGATGGCAATCTAACAGACGTATTTGCAATATTCTTGGTTAAGTCAGCAGCTTTTCCATTTTCGTCTCTTTCATTATTGACTAAACCTTTTGATCGAGCAGACTGTTTTGACTGAACTGAAACGTTTGATTCCCTAGATTGTGCTGAAGAACGCTTGTTGAATTGGACCGAACCTTTGGGCCTTTCTAAACTGTTAGGCCTAGATGAAGCTTTGGGGCTAGCTCTTATTGGACTAGCTGGAGCTCTGTTTGGAGTCCCTATTGGACTGTTAGAAATGCGAATAGAAGCTCCAGACCCAACTTGAGCATTACTGACCGAACCTCTCGATACCGGTCTAGTTGGGCTAGCAGAAGCGCGTCCAGAAGCTCCAGATAACTTTCTAACATTAACAGCTCCAGAATCCTTTCTGACAGAAGCACGTCTATTAGAAGCATTCGATCCAGCTCTAGCTGTACTAATTGAAGCACGCCAATCAGAAGCCTTGGATCCAGCCCTAGCTGGACTGACAGAAGCACGCCTTGAAGCTGCAGACGTATTCCTCACAGCTCCAGAATCCTTTCGTACCCCAGAAGCTCTAGAAGCCCTACGCACGCTGGAAGCCCTCCGTCCAGCTGGTGTCAACAACGGTGTAGGCAGAAGTGAGGTAAACCCTGAGGGGAAATATCCCAGTTTCCGTTGGACGTCATGAATTTGACGTCTTAAGCCGGAAATTTGCTTCTTCTGGTCCAAAATCCGCTCTTTCAGTATCTGCTCCTTGGCTATCATCCGTATCTCGTTCTGGAAAATTTTTTGTTAATTTATGACCATTATGAATATATGTATATATCTTAATATCTAATTTATTAATTTTTTTAAACTTATAAATCTTATAAACTCGAACCAATGTTATATTAACCTTGAAATTAAGTTTTTAAAAGTTAAAAGAGAATAAACTAGAGGTTAAAGGAAGATTTAATGTCATTTTAATAATCTTAAGACACTTTTAACCAAAAAATATTTGTTTTGGCTTTTAAATTACCAAATTTGGACAAAAAAAAACAAAGTTAAGCTATGTTACACCTACTACAATATAATTTTTATCAAATAACTGCCATTTATCCCTCTCAATATTAACAAAACCCAACTCACATCCTCAATTTCCATAAGCAGCGACTTTTTCTGACCAAGAAGTCTTTGTTCTTCAGTACGAATCTCTTCCAGTTTCGCTTCATCCTTCTTGCGATTCTCCATGGAATCGTCAAATTCCGGCAGAAATTTGGTCATATCCGGTATCTCTTTGAAATCAAAAGATTTGAATAATAAAAACAATCTCCCAATCCATTCTTTAGCGGATTCTGAATCTTGCAACGGCTTCGTGATGTCGGAATCGAGGTTTTTCGAGTTCACCGTGATCTTGTTCACATTGTTGTATACCTAGAAGAATGTAGTGATATCGTGTGATCTTGGTGGTTTAAATTAAAATTTTTAGGTTCATTTTACAGAGAACAAGCTAAACTTTAACGTAAATGGTCAATAATTGTTTTCTCACCGTGTCAATGAGGTTTACAGTGCTTTGAACTTCAAGGTTTATGTCATTTCGCGTTTTCTCCAGAATTTTCTTCTTTATCTCAATTAAATCGCATGTTATGGGTATCAAAGCTTGCAGGTTCTGTCTAAAATACGTTTATAACATCAATTTCTCTTTTTACCACCAAAGAAGTACACTTTCTCAAACAACAACATCAGTTTGAATCAATAAAACGACGAAATGTCAAGGAAACTCAAAAATGCAAATAATCTCGTCATACTGACCGACTTTCCATAAAACAGAGGATTTTATATAAAATTCTTACCGAATAGCTTCCATTTTCCGTTGACGAATAATTTGTCGGTATTGTGCTGTCAGTTTGTTGTCATTTCTCCTGTTCAATAAAATTTTTTCGCGTATTTTAGCTCTCAACAAGATTTTACTCAATTTTCCGAGTTTTTTTTTCGATTTTTGACGTTTTTTGAGCTTGATCTTCTCGATTTTAGACACGGTAAGCTTGCCAATAGACTGTAGCAGCGTCTTCTTCTTTTTCTTGGGTTTCTTCTTGGTTTTTGGCATCTTTTTGATCTGTTTTCTAACCGGTTTCCGCGTAATTTTGCGTTTGATTCGGCGACGTCGCTTTTTCGGGCCTAAAATAAGGTGTTTTAGGCTTAAAATAAGGTTGTTTGGACTTAAACTAAGGGGGATTGTCGTGCTATGTTATTATTTAACTTTTTTTAAACTTTTCGTTAAGTCTACCGACACGAATTTTCAGATGTACCAGGCTTCTCCACAGCCTAACATTTTTCACCCCCCAAAAGTTCTCGCCCGTCCCCACAAATCTCAGCTTGGAATCAGTAAAACTTGGCCAGGATTCAAGCTCAAACTCTACACGGCTTGGCCAAGATTCCAGTTATAATTCAACAGGATTTGGTCCAATTTTCATTTCAAAAATCCGCCTAGAATCCAGTCTAAGCAACGTCAAACAGGATTCCAAAACAAAGTCAGGCCTTTCACCTTGCCTAGAACCAAGTTTGTATTCTGCCGACGAACATTTGGCAAATCAAGTTATTCAAGACCCATTGGTTGGCCAAGAATCACCAAGTTCAACTCACGTCGAGAAGCACCGGCCGGTGGAGGCGTTGTCGTTTGCATTGGCCAAGGAGAAGAACCGCCGTTTCAGTCTGAAGAACACGTTTCTCAGCGATAAGGCAGGAAAGGTAGGGCAATATGTGGTGGCAAATTCACTTGGGAAAATTTGAAAATGAACTTGGGGTCTTGAGAACATAAAGTTTTGTGGTTTAAGAGGCCGGAAAGGGGTTTTATGGGTCAGAAAGCTTGCAATGGGCATGGAGAAGATTGAAGAGTTTACGTTTTTTTGGGTTTTTGGTGTTTTTGAAGTTTATAAGGTATATGACTTGTTATATTTAATAGTTTGTAAATGAGATTGATTGAAAATGGTGTGAAATGTTAAAGTTTTAAATTTAGGTAACTGTTTGGTGTCTCTTTGATATTTTAGGCAATTCTTTAAAGCTTTTGAAGTGAAACTTCGTTAGTTGGTCTAAAAATGTGTAATGATATTGTTAAAAGTCTTTAACAAGGGTTTTCACAGTCAGGCGTGGTAAAATAAAAAACAATTTTGATGCTTATTCACCCCCAGGCCAATATCACTCGCTCGGCAGTGAGCTTCTCAACGATTTAAAAATACCTTTAAGTAACCTTTTACTATGAAAAGGTGTAACCTTTGTTCATTAAAAGATTACCTCCTCACCCTCTAAACGTCATCAGAGTAACTCAAATTAAAAATTGTTGGCCCGTTTCGGCGGTTAATCCGACGGCGTTTTTCTTTGCTCCGAATTTCAGGAGATGTATTTGTTTTGGAAACGGGTTTCGGGCCGCCTTCAATGAATGTCATGGATTCTGCTTTTTGCGGCCATGCCCTAAAGGGATTCCGGAAAAGACAACTCTGTTTTACCATGTTGTGGACGCGTACATAGGGCAACAATCGGATGGGCATGGGATTGTTTGTGGGGTTTGAAGTTTGTTTGGGGTTAGGGGTGAGAAACGGGTCGTATTGGCTTGGGACGGCCATGAAATAAATTTGAAATGGGCCGGGTCTAAAAGTTGGCTCGGTTTGCGGGCTAGGCTTGAAAAGTTGGCCGAGTCCAAATTGTTTTAAAAAACTTGAAATTTTTTTAAAAGGGGTGGGTCAGGCCAAGCCTACAATTTTTTTTGGCTGGGCGGCCTAAAAAAAATAAAACAGGTTGATCTCAACGTTGGGTCTCGAGTCTGTGCCAGACTTCAAAATAGGGCTTGGCTCGGCTCGTTTGGCACCTCTTTTTGGGGCGGGCTACATAGGTTTTAAAGGAGATTCTCATGCCTTTCCTAACAAGCTTAAGAATTAATTCATTAAGAATGTAAAGGGTATGCCATTTTTATGCACATTTTGTAAAAATGGCCTATTATGTAACACCTAATATCACATTTAAAGTACGCAGTATAAGATTAGTATCCTAACCAGCTGCTTTTTCCCGCTTACAAAACGGCCCAATAAGCCTTTTTTTTGAAACTTTGTTACGTTTGTCTCATAATGGTAAACAGCTTCCACAAACTATAAATACTTTAACTTTTTTACTTGAAACAATACGCTGTTATTGGCTAGCTTCGTTGTCTTTTTTTACCATTTTTTTTTTCAAAAGGGTTATATTGGAAAATGTGAAGTGATTTTATAATGGTTAGAAATGAACAATTGTGTTGCTTTGGGGGGTGGATTTGTAGGCTTGGGTTGTTTTTGAGAGGCGTTTTTATGTTCTTTTTAAAAAGCCGTTTTGATATTGTTTTGAATTTTGAAGGTTGACGTTTATGAAGGTTTGAAAATTATTTTTTGAAAAATTAAAAAAATTTTTTACTTTTGATAAGTTTGTAACTTTTTGATTGAAACTACGTTTTTTCGCGATTGTTAAACGCTGTGACCCATTAGGGAACGAGGGATTAAAAATTTTGTTTTATGTATTTCTAAAAAACGAATATTTCGGTTTTTCAGAGCCTTCAGCAGTCCGATCTGCTTGGCGGCTTCAGAATGCAGACGGTAGGTTTGACGTTACAATATTTCACCTTTTTTCAAATTTCAAACATTCTTTAAAGTTTACGGTGTTACCTATAAGATAGATAAGCTAAATTTGGTAGAAGGGCGTGGGCAAGGAGTTTTTTTTAGGTTATGGGCGGGGTGGATCAAAAAAATTTTTTACTATTTAGTATAAGGTTGGTGCAAGTTTGCCTGTTGACCAGACTGATAAAAATTTTAAAAATATTGTTTTAAATTTAAAAAAAGTGAAAATAATAGCTTTTTTTACAAGTTTTATTAAGCTTTTACTAGCTCTCGCGCACGACTATTTTTGTTTCGCTATCCACGCTTAACTAACAGCTGTCAAAACAGTTCATTATCAAACGAATTGAATTGTTACATTTTTGGCTAAATTCACGAAAACAAGCATGTTAGTAAGTATTGTTTTAGCTATGTCTTTATGATTTTGGCATTTCTTATTGCTCACAAGAGGGGGGGGTTCGTCATTAAGCTTTAAAAAAATTACTTTGTTTTAAAAGCTGTCAGATTCTTTTTGTAAGGTGGCTTAAATTTTTTTGATAGAGGAAGAGTGTAAAATACGCATTGACGAGAATTTGAGAAAAATTGTTAATAAACGCGCTCTAATCCTTAGGGCGTCTAAATAGTTCTAAACTTTCCGAAATTACACTAAAATCACCTTGTTTTTCCCAAAATCTCGAACCCAATTGAGAAAACGGTAATTAGGAGCTGATAAATAACAAACCGGAGTGACCTTTAACGCCCAACTTTTTTCTCTCTAACAAAACACTTGACTTGGGTCGGGTCTGCCAACGAGACGAAGAATCGCTTTGGTCAGTCCTTTTTTAATGGAATTAAGAAGCGGGCTTGATTAAAAGTGGATTTTTATAGATTTCTGATTGTGAAAATGATTTTTTATATTTTTATTTTTTAAAAATGATTTTTTGTTACCTAAAAATGATCTTTTTTGTGGTTTTAGCTTTATAAAAGAGCATTTTTCGAAATTTTTAGTTTTCAAAGGAATTTTAAATGTTTTTCTTCATAAAAGCAATGTTTTAAAGTCAGTTTTCAATTAGATCTTCAGAATTCCGAAGTTTCCGGCCAATTTGACCGCTTTTGTTTTGAGACAGATTTGAGTTATGTTTTCTGGTTTTTATTGGGTTGAGGCTTTTGAGTTGGAACCGAACGTTGTTTTTTAAAATTGTTATGCTTTTTAAGGTTAGAGATGGGCTGTAACGAAAGTTCTTGCAATTTTTAATATTTTGTGTGTAATTTGGGACCAGGCATATTTTGGAAAGAAAGTTCTTGCACTGTCAAAAGAAAAAATTCATTTTTTCAAAAAATCGAAATTTTAATGAATTGGAAAGTTATTGCGATTTACATGGTAAAATACGTTAAAATCTCTTTGCACTTATACGTTTTGTAAAAAAAAGTTCTTGCGGTTCAAAAAATGGATTCTGTAAAAAAAAGTTATTGCGATTTGAAACAAAATTTATTACTGCGTGTAAAGAAAGTTATTGCGGGTTAGAACAAGCGTTAATTACTAAAAAATCCCCATGTTGTTACTCTCAAATTGGCCATTCAGTCCCCATGGAAAAGGGAATAAATTTGTCAAGAATTAAAGCCCTGAGGGTTATTAGAAGCAAGTTGGCGTTGTCTGAAGTTTTCTTCAGTCTCGTCTTTTTTTTTTCACTTGGCCAAAGGGGGGGGGGCGGCCGAGAATATCGGATTTTTTCGCTTTTTATGGAAAAAGCGAAAGAAAAAGTATTGGAAATGGATGTGGGGCTTCGTTGAGGGGTTTTGCTTTAAATGCAATTTTAAATGTAGCATAACCTTCGAAAAATATTTTTGTTGAGCTAAAATTGAAGGTTTTTGAATGTAAAGCATGCGCAATTTAAGAATTTTGGGTTCAGAAGCGTTTTAAGGAAATTTTTATCTTTCGAAAGATGGATAATATAATATTTTTAATTTTTTCTTCATTTTATCTAATTTATTTTGTTAGTTTTACTATTAATTTTATCTTAACTAGCTACTCTAAGATAATACTTATTCAATCCAGCTAATCTAAAACAATATATTTAAAAAATAATTTCAACTTCATTAATTATATTGTTCTTCAGGTCAAGGCGAACATGCCGGCAGTGAAAGGCGATGGAATGCGCGGTTTGGCCGTCTTCATATCCGATATCAGGAATTGCAAATCGAAGGAAGCCGAACTGAAGCGAATCAATAAAGAATTGGCCAATATCCGAGCCAAATTTAAAGGTATGGGTTTTTTGTTTGGTTTTTTTTGAATTTTAGGTAATAAGGATGGTGTTTTAATTTGAAACCGTGAGGAGAAGATGGATTTTAAATTCAATTTGAAGAGATAAGGGGAAAAAATATTTTGAAATCTGTTTTGGACATTGTTCTTGAACAGTTCCATACAAAATGTTAGCCATGAATAATAAATCACTATGTAAACATAGCCTTGAAGTTAATAATTGCTATTTTAGGTGACAAAACCCTGGATGGTTATCAGAAGAAGAAGTATGTGTGTAAATTACTCTTTATCTTCTTACTTGGACATGACATCGACTTTGGGCACATGGAAGCGGTTAATTTGCTCAGTAGTAACAAATACACTGAAAAACAGATTGTAAGTTTTTAACTTTGGTTTTTCTTTGATGTTTAGGTAATAAAATGGCTTGATTTGGAGAAAAAATGGAGGTTAGTTGGGCATAATAGCTTTTAGTCTTTTTTTGTTGTAAAATGATGAATTTTGGGTATAAAAAGGTATAAATAGATGATTTGGGCCTGAAATTTGATCTTTAGATTATTTTGAAGCTGTGTAGGATAAAATTTGTAAAGAACTGATCTAAAATCATCTAGAAACATTAAAATAAAGAATATTATAGCATCCTTTATATCTCTAGTTTAAAACTTACATTTTCAGGGCTACTTATTCATCTCAGTCCTGATAAACCTCAATTCCGAGCTGATAAAGCTGATTATTCAGTCGATTAAGAATGATATTGGTTCAAGAAACCCGATTCACGTCAATTTGGCTCTTCAATGCATCTCCAATATTGGTTCTAAAGACATGTGCGAAGCGTTTGCTCAGGATTTGGTCAAGCTGTTGGTTTCTGGGTAAGAATTTGAAACTTTTTTTTGGTTTTTAGGTAAATTATGATGAATATGGTAAGGTTGTTATTATAGACTAAAAATTTTCAGTTTTTATAATTAACTTATTTTGATGACTTTTTCAGTGACACAGTTGATTTTGTAAAACAAAGCGCAGCTTTATGTCTTCTGAAGCTCTTCAGAACCTCAAATCAAGTTCTACAACCAGGAGAATACTCTTCTCGTATCGTTCACTTGATCAATGACTCACATCTTGTAAGTTTTTATTAATTTTTGTTTTGTAAAGAAAGTTCTTGCTATTTTAAGCGGTGTAAAGAAAGTTATTGCCGTTTCATTCCAGAATTCTTATAACAATGACTTCAATAATGAGTAATTACCATTTTCAGGGTGTAGTAACAGCCGCAGTATCTCTAATCGAAGCGTTGAGCAAGAAATGGCCAGAAGAATATAAAACCTGTGTACCTCTAGCAATCTCACGTCTAAGCCGCATTGTGACCTCAACCTACACCGACCTACAAGACTATACCTACTATTTTGTACCAGCACCGTGGTTGTGTGTCAAGTTACTACGGCTTCTACAGAACTATCCGCCTCCAGAAGACCCGGGCAATCGTTCTCGACTGTTCGAATGCCTCGAGGGCATCCTCAACAAAGCTCAAGATGCACCAAAGTCCAAAAAGGTTCAACATGCAAATGCCAAGAATGCAGTACTATTTGAGGCCATATCATTGATTATACATCATGATACAGAGCCGAGTTTGTTGGTCAGAGCTTGCAATCAACTGGGAACTTTCTTGTCTCATAGGGAAACCAACTTGAGGTAGGTGTTTTATGTTTCTTGCGTTAGTTTTTAGGTAGTGATGGAATGGTGAGGAAGGCGCGAAAGGTGTTTTAGGTTATGAGGTTCAGAGTGAAATGATAATTTATATAGGGCGTGTAAATGATAAAGATTTATGTTGTAAAGAATGTTTCAGTTACTTTTTGATTTGTAAAGAACGTGTTTGCAATTTTTTGTTTTTTAAAGAATATGCCCGAACTCTCGTATTTTAACATATATTTTATCCTCTTTAATATCATCTTTTAAGATACCTTGCCCTGGAATCTATGTGCCTTCTAGCCACTTCCGAATTCTCTCACGAAGCCGTCAAAAAGCACCAAGACACTATTATCAACTCACTCAAAACAGAACGTGATGTTAGTGTAAGACAACGGGCCGTCGACCTCTTGTACGCAATGTGCGACCGGTCGAATGCTGTGAATATTGTGAATGAAATGCTGAGTTACTTGGAAACGGCAGACTACTCAATTCGCGAAGAGATGGTACTTAAAGTGGCAATTTTGGCGGAAAAGTATGCGGCCGAGTACACGTGGTACGTCGATGTGATTCTGAAGCTGATTCGAATCGCTGGAGATTATGTCAGTGAAGAGGTGTGGTACAGAGTTATTCAGGTAAGAGTATAAGCGTTTTGGAGGGATGGGGACGGTAAAATTTTTTTGATTTGTAAACAAAGTTTTTGCAGTTTTTTGCTTTGGAAAGAAAGTTCTTACCTTTTTTTGTTTTTGAAAGAAAGTTCTTGCTATTTTTGGGTCTGTAAAGATTCTTTTCTATTTTTTGTTTTGTAAAGAAAGTTTTTCCTACTTTAAAGTATGATTTTCTCTACTTATCGACCGATTTTCAGATTGTGGTCAACCGTGAAGACGTTCAAGGCTACGCATCGAAAACCGTCTTCGAAGCTCTCCAACGTCCAGCGTGCCACGAGAACATGGTCAAGGTGGGAGGCTACATTCTAGGCGAGTTTGGCAACTTAATAGCCGGCGATCAACGCTCAGCACCAATCATACAATTCGAGTTACTGCACAGTAAATATCATCTCTGCTCGATCAACACCAGGTGCTTGCTGTTAACTACATATGTCAAGTTCTGTAACCTGTTCCCGGAGATTAAGGGACGAATCCAAGAAGTGCTACAGACCGACTACAACTTGAGAAACCCTGATGCGGAGTTACAACAGAGAGCAGTGGAGTATCTACATTTGAGCAAGGTGGCTTCACCTGATGTCTTGGCTACGGTAAGGGGGTGGTTTTTTAATTTCGATGTAAAACATGTTGATATATTAGGTGATTGCGAAATTATCCCGCCAATTTTTCAAAAATTTTTTTAAAAATTCTGGACTGTTCTAGAACTTTCTGTTGATAACCTATATAAAGGGATGTCCAAGCACTAAAAAATATTGCATGTTCAAGCTTTCTGTTGTTTACGGTGGTTCAAGAAATCAAGGTAAGACATAGTCATGTTAGGGCAATGTTGCTTCGCAACTTCCGTGAGAAAGGCAACGCAACAAGAGCAACGAAAAAAATATGCAGTGCTGTAGGGCCTTCAGTTGTCTCTCACGACACCACAAAAATTTGTTTCCACAAGTTCAAAAACGGTGGCTTTGACATGTCCGAAAAGCTCGACCTGGTAGACCATCAGCGTTGAAGAAACCCCACCTTCTGAAGCTGATTGAAGAAGACCTCAGACAAACCTGTACTAATTTGACTGTAGAGCTTCAGTGTGATCTTTCTACCATATTAACTAGACTTCACGACCTTGGAAGATCATGGAAATATGGTCAAGGGGTTCCACATGATTTGAACAGCAACCAGCTGAAACGCTAAGTGGAAGTTGCACTTATTTGTTGATGTTCCCAATGACCTTTGCATGGCTTGGCAATTTGGTTACTGGGGATGAGAAGTGAGTACTGTATGTTAATCACACCAGGAAGAAACAATGGCTTGAACGTGGAGAACAAGGTACACCAACCCCAAAACCTGGTCTTCACCAACTGGAGGAGGTGACTAGCGTTAGCTGGAACTCAACATGTATTGTGTACTGGGAAATGGTACCAGATGGAACTACGATCCCAGTGGATGTCTACTGTAGACAAATCAAATCTGTTGCCGTTGCATTGCATGGTAAAAAAGGCCGCGTCTTCTTCATTCACAATACTGCTCGCGCCTATGTCACAAAGTTAACCCAACACAAGCTGAAAAGTTTCGGCTAGGCTGAGATGCCACATGCACTGTACTCCATTGATGTTGTGCCTTCAGCTTATAATATGTTCCACTCTCTTCAGAACCATTTGGATGCAACACGCTTTGACAACCGAGACGACCTCAAGCGATGGTGGACTAACTTTTTCAATTCTAAAACTCCAGGTTTCTGTAGAAGTTGAATCCAAATGCTGCCGAAGGAATGGCAACAGGTCGTTGCTAATAATGGTACATATATTTGTTAATTAGTTGTTGTTGTTTTTTTTTAATATTAAATTTTGGTAAAAACAAAAATTGGCGGGATAATTTCGCAATCACCTAATAGATGGGTATGAGGGAATTTTTTTTTTTAATTTTAGGTTTAGGCCATACATGTGGTTAAAAGTTAGTCGTTTTTTAGTTTCGCTGTACTGTAAATTACGGTATTTAGTATTCTGATCGATTTCCCTTTCAGATCCTTGAAGAAATGCCCCAATTCCCGGAGAAAGAAAGCTCCCTACTAGCCAAACTCAAAAAGTCCAAACCTAGAGTGGAAGAACTCGAAAATACGGTAACCGAAAAGAAGACCCGCCCTCAAGCCATCATCAACAATGGCACTAGTCACAATAAAACCGGCAATCTAGTCGACATCTCTTCATCCGCCAACTCATCAGCTCGCGACCCATTGGCTGAAGTCTTCGCCGCCACAACCAACGCCCAACCTATAGCCATAGGGGATGAGGAACACCTGGAGATCAGCAACAAGGAAAACATCTACAGCTTTGTCTTAAGACTGGCTGGCGTGATCTACGAGGACCCGGTGATTCAAATCGGCTACAAGATTGAATCAAAGACACATTTGTCGCGATTGGTACTCTTTTTCGGAAACAAGACCAAAGCACCATTCACAGATGTCCAAACCTTGGTCACATGCCCTGAGGACTTGGCTACGAAATTATTGACTCAGGTGAAACCAATTGAGCCTGTTATTCAGCCAGCCGCCCAGGTTCAACAGACGGTCCACTTGGTCTGTGTTCACGACTTTTACACTCTGCCTGTGGCTAAATTAACCTTTAACTATGTGTAAGTGGGGGAGGTGTAATGTGAAATGGCATTGGAATTCGAAGTTGTTAAAATTGGGTTATAGTTTTGGTGTTTTAGGTAACAAAATTTATATTTTTACAAAAAATTAGGTATGAATTAAATTTTTTAACGTATTTTAAATTCCAGAACCCCCGAAGGAACCCCACAACGATTTGCCAAAGCCTTTTATCTTCCTGTCTTCTTGAACAAGTTTATCACCCCATCAGAGATGGCGGCCGCCACCTTCTTCGAACGCTGGAAGGTCTTAAGCCAACCGGCTCAAGAACACCAACAAATCTTTAAAGCCGGCCCGGAGGGCATCGATGTCGCTGGAATTAGACAGAAGGTAAGGTTTCAAAAAGTTTTGAGTTTTTTTTGTTTGGAAAGAAAGTTATTGCAATTTTTTGCTTTGTAAAGAAGCTTTTTTCCATTTTTTGTTCTGGGAAGGTTTTGCTATTTTTATGCAAAAAATTTAAAACAAATCAATATTAACTAGAACGCTTTCAGCTAGAAAACTTTGGTGCCAAAATCCTAGATAATGTCGACCCCAATCCAGACAACTTTGTCATAGCCGGCATCGTCGAAACTCGCACGGTAAACGCGGGTACCTTAATAAGACTAGAACCCAACAAAACGGCCAAAATGTATCGACTTACAGTACGTTCCTCACTTGATACGGTGGCACGCGGGATCTGCGAGTTGTTAATGAGACAATTGAACTGAGTTTGATCAGATTTTTAATGGGGAATTGACCGGTCGATTTAAAAAAATTTTTTGGTCGGTTTTTGAGTAACATTTTTTGGCAAATGTTACCTAAAGTTGATTTTTTTGAAAAATTTTGCTTAAAATTAAGTTTTTTGATAAAAATTGACCGGTCGACCACTCCCCACAACCCTATCCTTCACCACTCCCGAACAAATGCCTATATAGAGTTTGCCAAAGCGGTAATAACTTATTTTCTCCCATGCTTGTTATTCTATATCAATAACCAGCTGTTTGTCTCTCGAGCATAATTTTCCCAATTTTTCAGTAAATACAGTAGTACCAACAGTAAAAAGTATTTTTTTAACGGTTTTTTCAGAAATTTAGTAATTTAAACAAAGTATTTGGTCATCACTATAAAATACGTAATTGTGATCGCATTTATAGCACTTATAAGGGGGTTGGCAAGGGTGGGGTATGGGGCTTGGAGTGGAGAACTATATTACCTGAAAGAGCATAAAAAGTTTGCTTAGGAACATGTTTTTCAGCTGCTCAAGTTCATATACCAGAAGGTTACAGTAATTTCAAAGTTTACTGTTTCCCAAGGTTTCATAGGGTCCCCTCTGTGGATTTTTTTGGAGAACAGTTAACTTTGAACTACTGCAACTTCGACGCACATGAACTTGGGCAGGTAAAAAACATGTTTCTAACCCAACTTTTTATGCTTTTTCAAGTGATATAGGTCCCCATTCTAGGCCCTATACCCCACTTTTGCCCATCCCTTGTTATATACATGTTCACCATCAATTCTTGTCTCCTCAACCTTATTTATGATTGTTTTCTAAAGTTTCGAATAGAATTGTTTATTGGCTACTAATAAAGTGAATTAAGTATAGTAATGGTAATACTTCTGTTAAGTATTGTAGTGATAATAGTGTTTCCTTGCCCGGTAACTGGTGAGAAAGTGGCATGTATTATAGGTTTCAACCCACCCTTTAGATTAGTTACGAAAATACAATTCACCCTTGCCTTTGGGGATTTTTTGACTGTAAGACGGGCCCTGTATAAGGACTGGCAAGGCCGGCTTTTACGTCTAAGCCTGCCACCGTCCCCATATCAAAATCACCCGTTCGTCCTATAAAAATATTTTATAAGGTCTCGAGAGTTGTAATGTCGAGTAATGATAGAACATTTATTTCCTTCGAGGTATAACTATTAAATTTTGTACAATTTTCACGAATGGTACTGTATTAAACGTATAAAAAATCATCCTTACAGTATGCTATAACATCCTAACGTTCCAGTACTCCTCTATCTGAAATCTACAATACTCCTCTGTCTCAAAACGACATTATCCGCTTGTACTAAAACTACAGTGTTTCTATATCCTCAAGCTACACTACCCTCTATCTCAAAGCTACAGCACCCCATTCAAACATTGTAAAACGGTGAAGCAGCCGAAGTCTGTAGTTCGATTTGTGAAATCTTGTACCGCACCTTCTTTAGCCATGGTGCCAATGGTGCCGCATCGACTGGGGCCTGGTTCTCACAAGCATCCAGTTTGATCCTCAATTGTGAAGGAATCTGTGAATGGTATACGGTAAGAATCGGCTGCCACATTGGATACAACTGACACAGTGTAGCACTGTTACATTGTTGTAGAGCTTGAATTGTATTGACGAAATGAAGATTAACCATATCAGCCAAGACTTTTGAGTGTGACAAAAGCTGTAGAATGGCAGGGGTTACACGACTCCAGAAATCCACAATGTTCTCTGGCGCTTTGTTGAAGCTGTCTTCGTTTACTGAGGCTGCCTTTTCACAATAGACAGTCCATAATTGGCACAGATGGAAGGCGTGAAAGAGGGCTGACATGTGGACCACGGATTGCTGAAATTTTGAAATTGTTTGTAAAGAAAGTTCTTGCCATGTTTTGTTTTGTAAAGTAAGTTTTTGCCAATTTTTGATTTGTAAAGAAAGTTCTTGCCATTTTTTGGTTTGTAAACGTATTTCAAAACGTTACCTTGCTTTGATCCGCAAATCCAGCCAATACAAAGTGAATGTAATCAGCCATGTGATTGGAACAATTGATTGGGACTGGGAAGCACTCTTGATTAGCATGAAGAGCTCCCAATAATAGCCATGATAAGACTCTGACATTGGTAACACTCTCAGCAAAGGCTCCAGGGACAGCTTGAGTGATGTTGGGAGGTGATAAGAGCCAAGGAATGAATCGACCGACAGTTCGATTGTCTCTGTGAGCTGGTCTACTCATTTCGAGGGCTAGAGTCTCGGCTAGGCCGGCCTGAAAATAGAAGTTTTAACGATATTTTTAGTAGTGTCTCAAGAATATTAGGTTTATTTGGTACTAGTTTGTATAGGATAATACTATATAGTACTAAAATTTAAATTGAAGTTTTATTGCACTCATTATTTTTTTTTTATTATTTTTGCACGGAGTAGTTTAGTTTTGCTTGCACTGTGCAATCTGATGGGGCTTGCACGATGCAGGCAATGTGGACTTGCACGGTGCAGTCTGTTTTAGCTTGCAGGGTGCAGTCTATTTAGGTTTACACGGTGCAGTCTATTTTGACTTGCATAGGAGAGAGGGTAGGGTAGGGTAGAAAAAAGTAGGATAGGATAAAGAAGGGTAGAGTAAAAATAAGCCCTTACCTTCAAATCCCCGCCCATTCGATCGCTATTCGTCTGCTTTTTCAATTTGCTTAACACATGAAGATCAGCGATGAATTCCAATAAATCAGACAAAAACGGTCGTATCGTTTCGGACCCTCCAGTACTATATTGATCCAGATCCGGTATGTCATCCGACACGTTTTCTCCAAAGTCTTGTAACACCAGCTTTACAATCGTCATATAGTTGGTCTCTACCAGTTCACAACGGAATTTGATGGCATGAACAAGTTCTGTCACTATTACTCTGGTCAGACATTGCTTGTCACGTTCCTGAAAGAGGTTGGTGAACGTGATAAAAAAATTTTAAAAGAATTAAAAGGTAAAGCAATTTTGATGTAAAATACGCCTTTCTTAAAGAGCAGTATTATAGCGTCTCGTGAGTAAATGAGGTGACATATATTACACTAGACGCTAGGTACTAAAAGCGTACAGTACAGTAAACTCAAAACTACTGTAACTTAAAAAATTAAAAGCCTCATATGAAAAACTACAAGTTGCAAAAAACCTCAAGGTTTCATGTTTGATACCTTAACCAAACTCTCGCAAAATATTCTTTTTCGTATTTTCTGTAAAATAAAAAAATTTCGAGTTTGTAAAATACGATTGGCTCTGGTTTTTAAAATTTTCTTTTAAACCCAAATCCTAGTTTGCTTACCTATTGGTGGCTTTAAAATACTTTAAGACGTTAACTTAAATCAAAGTTGATGGTAAAATACGTTGTGGCCACCCAGCAAAGATGTTAATTTTCATAAAAAATATTTTACAAGCTTACAATATAAGGTTGTTCAAATAATTCTGCACCCTTTAACTCCAAAGATTTCCTTTAAAAAAAGCGCAGACATCTGAACAACCAAATACTATTCTGTATCTTCACCTACCCGATGCATAGCTCGATTACAAATCGAACAGATTGATAACAAGTCCTTCAAGTCTGCTTTACATTCATGTAGTGCTTCTGTCATCCATTTACCGTACGCTTCGACCATTGCGACTGAAGTTTTGAAGGTCGAAAAGTTTTGTACTTTCATCACTTGCGACATTACGGCAATCAAGCTCTTGAACTCGGTTTTAATCGGCTTTCTTTGGCTATTGCCATTGCTGTTGTTCTCGGAGATTATCTGTAAGGAAAGAAGAGTTAGTTTATCGTACTTTACAATGGTTTTTAATCAAAAAAATTATTGATATCAACAAAAAATGGCCAAAAAATCATGTAAAACGACCTACTACTATACTTTCGTCAAAACTTAAGAAAAACAGCCAGATTATGCAAATTTTAGCTCAAAATCAAAGTAAATATCCTTCAAAAAACCTTTCTCAACATGTTTACTACAATATAAACTATTACCTGACTTTGATATCGTCTGAAGAACGCGTCCAGTTGCGCGACAACGGCCGTCCAGTTCGAAAAGTAGGTATCAAGTGGAACATAATTGATAAAAGCTGCCAAATTATGAAATACTCGATCCAATTTCAAAGTCCAATTGTTCATAAGATCATCGAACAGACATTGGATCAAGGCAATCGGATTTAGATCGGTGAAGTCCATCAGAGATTTGCATATTGTCTCCCAGAAGGCTAATGGATTGTCGATCTTTGAATCGAAAAGCTGGAGGGCAATTCCACTGGTTGAAAACTTAAAAATTAAACTTTATTTTTAAAATAGAAGAGATACTGTAATTAAATTTTTTTTTAATTTGACAATAACCTTTCCTACTTTAATTTCTGTGTTCTTACCTGATGAATAATGACCCTGATCAATTGCTTGGCCACGCTTTGACTGTTTCCTGGCACGAAAACATTGTTCTCATTCCAAGGATACATTGGGTAATGTATGAACGTAGTGACAGTTTTAATGATACGATACAGTAATGGTGCAGCCATCGACGACTCTCGGTGTAGAAAGGTCGAGAGTGCTATTAAACACAAACTTATTGTCTCTTCATCAAAGGTTTCGATAGGTGTGTTACAGTAGGTACAGGCTAGTCGTACACACTCAGCACGTACTATTCGTTTCTTCTTCCGTTGACCTTTTCGTTTGTTTCGTCGAGAGTTGGCCAAGAGTTTTGAAGGTGTCCCGGATTCCTAGAAATGGTATATTGTAGTAGATATAATGTGAAGTAACAAGAACTTTCTTTACAGAACGAAAAATGGCAAAAACTTTCTTTAAAAATCAAAAATTGGCAAAAACTTTATTTACAAAACAATTTTTTAAAAATTTCAAACCAAATGCCAACTAAAACCCTACCGGTTCAATAATAGCCGGCTGGTTGCTTCTCAACTGGTTGACCTTTAAACTCTCTGGTCGACTGTGTAGCCCCTCTTCCAAATGCACCATCTTATTATCATCTTCCTCTTCTTTTATCACTTTCTCTTCTTCCGACTCATCTGAAGTGTCACTCCACTCTTCGAACTCTGGTACATGAGCTTCAGTGGCATTGCATTCGAACACATGGCAATGACATTCCAACGTCGCTATCACTATCATCATCAACTTTGTTATCAGATCACTGATGGGAAGGGCGTCGAAGCGGTACTGAAATTTAAATTTTGAATGAAATTTAAAAATTGGAAGGAACTTTGTTTACTGGAGAAAAAATAGCAAGAACTTTCTTTACAGAGCCCAAAATAACAAAAAAAATTTTACAAAGTAAAAAACAGAAACTTTCTATACAAAGCATAAATTTTTTAAATCAAAAAAATCTTTAAAAGAATGCATTCGTCGTATAACATGTCACCCGCAAACTGCAAAATCTACATTTACTAAAGATGTACTTAACACTAGTTTGAAAATGTAAAAAATGGCAAGAACTTCCTTTACAAAACAAAAAATCTTAAGAATTCGTCGTGTAAAATGTCACCCGCAGGACGCAAAATCCCCTTTTAATAAAAACCGATTTGAACGCAGTTTAAAAAATTTAAAAAATAACAAAAACTTTCCTTACAGAACCTAAAATGGAAAAAAAGTTTTAAAACTTACCTTATAAAGTATTAAAATGACTGAATGTAGCCAATGATACCTCAAGTTCTGACTAAGCAGACAAAGAGAATAATCAGCTGAGCTTGAATCGCTAGCGTACTTTTGAGGTGATGGTAGGTGAAGAAGTAGTTGAACTATTATTGGCAACATCTAATATTTCAAAATTTTAAAAAATTTTAAAATCTTTTCTATTTTTTTTAAAAATTTTTTTTTCGAATATTTTTATGACAAACCCAAATATAAACCCACCTGATTCCCAATCATCATGTTGTTATCCAAGACCTGAGGCAACCCCAACATAAAAGCATTACAGACAGCTGCCCTCCTGATACGATGTGGTGGTATAGTGAAGCACTTTTCCGAGTTACTGTACCCCAACAGCGTGTTAAAATGCCTTAAAAGTACACTTTGTTTCTTGGCTGATGCCTTTTCATCATTAGTCTGCTTCTTGTTTGATAAGAAATGAACGAAAAGGGCTACTGTAATATATACAGTATGACGTTCTGGATTCTCCATATCAACTACACGGTTCAGGAGAAGACAGAGGTTGGATTCTTCGTCTGTGAATTCACGTAGACGGCCGTATTGACCTGAAAGGAGTTGTCGTATCAAAAAATTTAAAAATTTTTTTAATTCAAAAATTTAGAAATCAAATTTTTTTCCAAAATTTAAAAAATTTTTTGCAAAAATTTAAATTTAAAAACGTAAATTATCGTATTTTACACAAAAATCAATATCCTTACCTCCAGCATCTTGAGCAGCCTGATTGATAGTAGAAGGCCCTGTATCGACTGAAATTCAAAATTTTAAAATTAAAATTTAAAAAATTTTGAAAGTTGTAGATAAAAATGAGGTTGGAAAAATGAATTAAAGCTGATAATAGGTACAACAGGACAGATCATGTTAACGAAATAACAAAATGGACAGATTAATATAGTTAAAGGTATATTATTGCAAAGGCGGCTTAACATAGTTAAAATGGATTTGGAAAAGTTAAGTAACCTTAACAATTGTGCAAGGTACCTTTGTAGAGCTAAAAGTACTATAACATTGCCAAGGTTATCTTAATGTGGCACATTTTAACTTAGAAAAGAAAAAAAAACCTAAATATAGCTAATGTTATATAGGGATAATGAATAATGTTAAAAATTAATTATAAAAGCAAAAAAAAACAACACACGCGACAGGTAGTGTAAATTAAAAAAATCATGTGCAATGTATCAGTAAACACAGATAATTTCATTTTAAAACTTTTTTAAAAAATTTAAAATTGGAGCCAAAACACCCCCAAAAACATGCAAAAAACCAATAAAAAGCACACCTCCACTAACAACATCATTACATTCACACCAAAGTTCACATTCACCGTACACGGAAAAGCGGTGGTAATGGCGGCCAAAGCAGTCGGTTTCATATTCCCTTGCTCTTCCACAAGCCCAGGCTCAGGTGACGATGTTCTCGACCTCATCACATTCATCGGTGTTAGTTGACATATCTTATCAGTGAATGAGCGAAAAGCGTTACACACCTTCACCATCATTATCACCTTCCGCAACTTGATTCGAGCAACATCGGCTCCGGTTGTTGCTCCGCGACGACCTCGTAGATGCGTGGCACGACGGGCCTTCATCTCTTGTGCTGTATATTATGACAATTTGTTTTGGATCAAGCCCAATTTTACAAAAATTCAGCAAGTTTTTTGAAGTGGAAAGAAAGTTATGCAAAAGTTTTTTTTCGAATATTTTCCCTTACCCTAAGCCTAACCTTAGCAAGAGCACTAGACCTAGCTCCACCCTGCGTCTCCGTCCTTTCTCTGTCCCTGTCCATGTTTATGTTTATGTTCATGTCCCTGTTCATTTTCATATTCATGTTCATGTTCCTGTGTTTGTCCTTGTCTCTCTCCCTGTTCCTGTCCCTACTCTTGCCCCTTCCCTTAACTACAAAGAGACAGTGGATTAAAATTCCAGTAAATTTTTCATTACCATTTGCATAAACTTTCTTTCCACTACATATACTTTTAAAAAGACATATGAACAGCTCAAGCCAACTCAAAATGAAAATCAAGCCAAAACTTCACGGCAATCCATCGCCAAATTTTACACAATTTTAAATAAATTTTTTGAGTAAAATACGCCAAAAAATCCTGCAAGTATAAATACAATTTTAGTACAATAAAGTCCTTTTTGATGACATATTTACAATGTAAAAATTTACATTAACAATAAAATTTAACTCAAATAAACTGCAAACTTTTTTACATTCAAACAAAAGACAGTAACAATGAGAAGTCTGTAGTATAACAAAGATGTTTTACTTTGTACGTTTCATACAGTCAAACCTCTTTAGTACAACCATATTTAGTGTGACACCCTAGTCATAATGACGAGTTACGTCAGTACCTTAAGCATCATACTAAAGGGGTTTGACTGTAGTTACTTTTTTATACGAGATACTATACTGTAAGCCTCGTATGTTACATTCAAAACGTGAGAAGACAACTAAATTCTTCAAACCAACCTTTTTCAACTTTGGCACTCATCGTTAGTTGATGTTTCAATGAGTTTTCGCGTAGACTTTTCACAATCGACCGAACAGACCCAGCTTCATTCAAACTTTGCCGAGCTTTTGTCACTTTCCGTTGATACAATTCACTCATTGGGTCTGTGTGTAGGAGATCTGAAATGTTATTATTCAACAATTTTAAAGTGTATTTCTCTGGTGTAAACTTAATTGCGTACTAAAGTTCGAGTCAGCTTAGGGTTAAGTAGAGTAAGATATGGTAGATCTGTAAAGAGGCCAAACCGAGCTTAATTTTTCGGCCCAGCCCGGTCCTAGTTTCAAAGCCAATATAATAAAAAGCTTATGGTCAGACTAAAGATGAAACCAGGCTAATGCTGAGCCTAAGACTAAAATCACGCTAGAACCAGAGATAACCCAGGCTACAACTAAGGCTAAAGCTCTGGAATAGGGCTCTAAACTAAAGCTCTGGGCTAGGGCTCTGGTCTAGGGCTCTGGTCTAGGGCTCCGGGCTCCGGGCTAAGGCTCTGGGCTAAGGCTTAGCTAAACTAAAAAATCTTACCCTGAACAAACGTATGTTCTCCTTGTTGTCTTTTGAGTTGAGCTTCCAAAGCGAGTGTCTCGAAGCGTTGAATGAAGAAATCCCATGAGAAAAAGTTTTGGTTTGGCACGATTTGTGTCAGTAAAAAGATCCGGCCGATTATCAAAGGGCGGTCCAAAATACAGGAATCGAATTGGCTTTCCAGGCAGTAGCAGATCAACTATAATGTGATTATTATTCATTGTTTATAACTTAAGATGACTTACATTCAAAGCCTGTGAAGGCATGGCCTGAAGTAACAGTAATGTTCTTTGTGCTACAGCAGCATTCGGATCGTTTACTGATACAATAAGATGAGAAAAGGCACAACTCAAACAAGTTTGGAGCAATTTGTTCGCTTTTACTGGTCCTGCTGGTACCAAATGAGCCAATACGTAAATTCTTTCAACTGAAATGTTTTTGTAAAATACGATTAAAAAACCATTGTGTAATCAAAAGACTTTACCTTGCCCTATATTAGTCTTATACCAGCTCTACCCTACCCTACACTTCTTTAAACATACTTTGCCTTACTTACAGTACCTTATCCTACCTTACCCTGTCCTATTTTTACACAAGCCTTACACCCCCCCCCCGCTTTCCATCCCTAACCCTACAAATTACAGTAAACCTTACCAGCCTTGAACCTGACCTCCCATTCAGCACTAGTAAAGTCTTTGTTCACAACGTTCCAAAACACGTCCTCTCCGCACGGTAACGTCATGGCGTGAATGATAAGAGGTACCGCCAATTGACCGCCTTGAGCAAAGTTGCTTTTCAATAATTTCCATAATTTAGGTATGAAAAGGTTCTCTTGAGTCCAGATGAGGTATCCACGGTATTCTCGTTTGGCATGACTTAAGGCTTCGTAATGTAGACATAGGTATTTCAAGATGGTTAGGAGGAAGTATTGGACATCTGGGTCGAGTTCTCGGTCAATATTCTGGAAATAGAAAGAACTTTCTTTACAGATCAAAAAATGGCAAGAACTTTCTTTACAAAACAAAAAATTGCAAAAACTTTCTTTACAAAACAAAAAATGGCGAAAAATTTCTTTACAAAACAAAAAATCGCAAAAAATGTGTTTATAAAGCAAAAAATGACAAGAACTTTCTTTACAAAGCACAAAAGTTACAGTAACTCACCATAAGTAAGCTATGAACAAACTGAAGTTGAGGTGGGAGTTGATCAACCGAGAACTTAAACCTGCCAACTGAAGTGTCCCAGAACTGATTGTCTCTACTTTGTGGATTACACCCACTGCCATCATGTAGACTGTTAAGTAGGGTCTCTGTCACCACTTGACACGTTTCATGACCCAAGTCTCGTTCGGTTACTGTAACTTGCTCAGCGAAAGCTGTTTCAATCTCTTCTGAAGGCAGAATCCCAGCAAATTCATCGTAGGCTGGCGACTCCATTGTGGCTTGAAGGTATTGAGGACTGGCTAGAGTACCCTTGGGGGCTTGGGGGAAGTTGGAAAAGACTCCGGGAGATTGGACTGAAATTGTGATTATTGTAGTAGAGCATTGTAATATGATAAAAAATTAGTTTTTCAAATTTTAAACCAAGTTTTTGGCTGTTTATGATAAAAATTAGTTTTTGCAGCCTGCGGGTGACAAGTTATACGATGAAGAAAAATTTCAGTCGTTTTAGGTATTGTAAAGAAAGTTCTTGCCATTTGTTGTTCTTTAAAGAAAGTTCTTGCCATTTTTTTCTACGACCCCCTTACTTTACCCCTCTAAACCTACCAATAGAACTGATCATATTCCTTGGTGACAGTGGATTTGAAGCCTGTCTCGAAGCCGTAGTAATACTCTCAGACAGCTGTGCTTCTGCCAGCCAATCACTATGGTTAATATCATCAACTTCAATTCGAATTTCATTCTTTGGACATAACTGTTCGACCAGTTGCATGACAATTTGGTACAGGTACACAGCTTGTTGACATCGAATACAATCGGAGAATTGATCGGCTTCTGGGTTCTGACACGAATGAAGATCGTATTTAGATGTGCCTTCTGGATATTGCATTATCAGGGCCATTACCACGAATAGTTGGTCAGTATAGTCGTTGAGTTCGTTTGAGCCTTCGTTCAACTTCATCTGGAAAGAAAGTTTTTGTCATTTTTTGTCTTGTAAAAAAAGTTCTTGCGATTTTATGTTTTGTAAAGGAAGTTCTTTCTATTTTTTAATTTGTAAAAAAAGGTTTTGCCATTTTTTACTTTGTAAAGAAAGTTCTTTCTATTTTTTAATTTAAAAAAAAAGTTTTTGCCATTTTTTGCTTTGTAAAGAAAGTTCTTGCAATTTTTTGATTGGTAAAGAAAGTTCTTGCCATTTTGATAAAAAATCTTCAAAATCTCGTGTTTTGCAGCCTGCTGGTGACAAGTTATACGACAAATAATATTCTTTCTATTTATATGCTTTGTATACAAAATGTTTGCCATTTTTTATTTTGTAAAGAAAGTCCTTGCTATTCTATGTTTTTTTAAATTTTTTGCCGTTTTTTGTTTTGTAACGAAAGTTCTTGCTCTTTTTGCCTTATATTACAAAAATAGAGCTTAAAAATCAAATTTTTCGTTGTGCGAGCGAGCGACAAGTTATACGTTGAAAATAAAACTTATTTATATTGTTTAATATGTAAACAAAGTTACTGCGCTTTTTTGTCAAAAAAAAATTTTTTTCATATTTTTTTTAAAAAATCTACCCACCTGCTGAGCGACAATATCCACCATGACCACCTGAACAGCCATAGGGCCAATGTCTTCGTCCAAATCGTCCTCAACATTAGCCGTAGGCTTAATCTCATGACTCCTTCTCAAACATATTGTTGCCATTTCTAATATCATGTCCATGGATATGCGAATATCCATCCGACAGAGTAAGTGGAGCCAATCCAGAGCGTCTAGTACCTCATTGTAATTACCGGTCGCTAATCGAGTGAAAATGAATTCGAATACTTTCTTCTGGTCGAAAGGTAGGGGACAGAGATCTGGCTCGAAGATTTTACTGAAAATTGTTAGATTTAGGTAACAAATGTTTAAACAATGGCAAGAAATTTCTTTACAAAACAAAAAATGGTAAGAACTTTTTTTACAAAACAAAAAATAACAAGAACTTTTTTTCGAAAGATATCAAGCACTTGCTTTCCAAACAAAAATATGTAATTTATCGTATAAATTGTCATTCGCAGACTGCATAACATAAAATATCTACAAAATTCAAAAAAATATTGTGCCAATGTTATAGAAACTTTAAAAAAATGCAATTTTTCCACTTTTTTTTTAATTTAAAAATTTTAAAAACCATTTACCACAACAAAACTTTCAATTCCGAAAAGTCCTCATCGTCCGACGGTTCAGCTATAACTCTCAGCCAATTCGCTATAACCCTGTTCCAGGTATCCATTGAAATAACGTCGTATGGCATTAACGACAACAGTTTTGACAATCCTTCCTTAAGCTGGTCCTTTCGTGAACATAACTTGTCCCACACACCACCAACTTGAGCATAATCTGGCAGATTTGGGTTCAGAATACTGATAAACACTTCGTAATGATTGGTTATGGCCATGTTCAACCAGTCTGATGCGAACTAAAACAAAATTAGATTAAAATTTCCCATTATTATGGTTTATTACACATTTTTATACTACTGTAACATTATATTTTGAAACACAGCAAAAATTTTAGGTCCCACCACGAAAACCTGAAACTTTAATTTTTAACAGGTTTTCGGGTTTTTATGTTAATGTCTGACCTTTTTAATCATTTTTACAGCAAAAATACGGTAAAATACTCCCTTCCCATCTAATTTTGGGTCCTACAACGAAAACTTGTAACTCCCAATGTTGCGCTTTTTTGGACTTTCTATTACCCTATATGACCTTTCTAACCGTTGTTACATCAAAACCACCTAAAAACACATTAGCTCACATCAGTTTTCAGCTGTTCCAACGCCGCCCCCATCGAATCATTAGGTAACAACGCAGTGGTCGCAAACCATTGAAATAACATGCTCATGATGTAGCCCACTCCAACTTCTGGTGCCTCTTTCGAAGGTGGGCATAACGCAGCCATCAGCCATATACCATACCGACTTAGCATACGTCGTTCGTCGCTCATGTTGTCTATGTCTTTGCCCAGAGATTGGCCGGCTTCGAGTTGTCGCAGCCATTTCGGTCGTTTCGTTTCGCCTTCTTGACCTTCTAGTTGACCTGAAGTCTCTTTCAGAAGTTTCACTACGGCTTCTACCATGTCCCGCTCGATTTCGGAGTCCCATGCACAGGTTAGACCAATGTGTACCAAGTGTTCTTCATGCTTTTTAGTGCAGTGGATAGCTTGGAGGCATTCCTGAAGAGAGGTTTTGGTATAGTAGACAGCAATAACTTTCTTTACAGATTTAAAAACTTTGAAAAAAGAGCAAGAAATGGCGAAAAATTTCTTTACAAAGTAAAAAATGGCAAGAACTTTCTTTACAACACACAAAAAATAAATCTTTCTTTAATTCTTCCCCTTACCCACGCTTACCTGACACAGCCTCAATGGTACAAAGCCATGTGATCGTATACAATCAACATGAAAACAAGTTCCAATAGCCACTCGATTAGTCGACTCACACGCCTTATTCTGACACATGGTAGCATTCGAAGCTGGCATGGGTTGAGCAATATAAAACACCGGCTCTTTTGTTTCAATGTCATCTGAACAGTTTTTGCACAAGAACATTGGCGGAGCCGAGTCTGCCATTTTGGCGCACAACACTGGATCGTAGACACGTTTTACGGCCGCCGGCTTGTCATTACAGTTTATGTTTTGGCAGATCGGGGAGCTCCATGCTAAAATTTAAAGGTTTTTAGATAAAAATTTTAAGGAATAAAAGCTTATCCTAGAAATCAGGGTTTTCGTTGTAAGACCAAAAGCAAAAATCAGAATCATCGCTACTTAAAATTTTATCATGCTTTTAGCAACAAAATATAAAGTTTACGGTTTTTAAAATAGAAATACGTCAGACTTTTAAACTTTCCTGACAATCAGGGTTTTCGTTGTGGGACCCAACGTATCATATAATAATATGAAATCTTTTAAAAAATCATTATTTGTGTTAACTTATCAACAACAAAATAACTCAATTTCTTAATAATCTTTTAAATTATGTTTAAACTCAAGTTTTCGTCGTAAGACCTGAAATTTATTTCTAAAATTTTTTAATTTAAAAAATGAATATTGAAATTTTTTTGAAATTATGATTTAAAAAGACTTAACATTCAAAAAATTATATTCCTTACCATGTGCTCGATACTGAATGGCTTTGCGATGAATAATGTGAGGATTGATGATCGGCCAGTAATGGAAGAGAAGATTGGCCGCTGATACTCGGGCTTCACTGGTTCCTTTAGCGATTACTGCTATTAGTTCCTAAATTTATCATTTTTAGATTATCATAAAAGTTAAAGTTCATTACAAAAATGTTTGTTAAAGTCAAAAAGTTTGTCGAATTAACAAAAAATTAAAAAATTTTAGTTTTTAAACCTAAAAACTTTTTTTTATACTATAGCAACATAACATAGTAGTACCTAGCGTATTTTACACTTACAGCGTACATATCATTCTTATGGGCCATCAGGTTCTCAATCAGACATGTGTGTAGAGCTGAAAAGTAAAAGTTAGTACTAGTAGTACCATAGTTCAAAAAGAGTAGATAAATCTAGAAGCCTACAATAAAATGTGGCAAAACAGTACCAAAAATAGTATTTTGAACTATAGTACCAAAAAAACTTTTTAGTACTAAAAATAGCTTGGTAGTACCAAAATTTGACTTACAGTACTAAAACTAATAAAAAATTTTAAATTCTACATATTACCTAAAAATCCATAAAAACCCCATTCGCCAAAATAAATTTCCAAAAAATCCTTACAAGGATCCGAATGTTGCTGTAGCACCAACATCAACACCACCGGCACACTGAGTGCACCATAACAATCCTCGCTCAGCGTGTACGGTAAAACACATTCGGTCAACAGACTGACAATCTTTTTGTGCAAATCACTCGAAAACACGTCCAATTGAGAAGCAATCAATATCGGATACTGATCTACAGCATCTCGATCCAAAAAGAAGTACAACGCCTTCAGGCAGTCCAATATTGCCTCTCCAATTGCGCTTTGACCAGTTTGAATCAGTGGAAACACGTCCAGTAGATTGACGATACCATAGAAGAGACCAGAATAATTGAGGTTTGGGTAGAGGTTGGAACGCTGAGCATCTGAGGTGAATTTCACAAAAAGATGACCGTTCTTTGGGGCTATGTCTTTGAGAAATCTGAAATTTTAAAGTTTGGGGATTTTACGTAAGGTAAAATACAACCGGTCATCTGATTTCGGTTGAAAATTCTTAGTTTTAATCAAGTATCATAGAATTTAAGATATTTTCGATTTTTTAAAATGTTATAACTAAAATGCAAATTCTTAAAAATAAAATTAATATTTTTGGGTTCCAACACGAAAACCTTAATCTTAAGCTTTTTAGGTTTTGCCACGAAAGACTGCGTCTTACAAACAGCTTTTTAAAATTGAAATTTTGAAAAACTCTTTGAGTCTCACAACGAAAACATTTATTTTAAGTTTTTTTAGGTCTATCCACCAAAAACTTGAGTCTTGCAAACATTTTTTCAATTTTCACTTTTAAAATTTCAATTTTGAAAAAATCTTTGAGTTCCACCACGAAAACATGTAATTTAAAAAATCTATCTCAAACTAGAATAAAAAAGACGTTTTTCATGTAAATACACAAAGAGCTATTTCTGCTTAATAATATTTTTTAAAATTCAAAAAATACGTCTTTTGAAATTACATACCCAATAAGAGTCTGAGTAAAGTACTTGAGTGTGGTAATGACTTCAGCATTTGATGGCGGTTGTTGATTCCCAGATATTCGAGAATGGAAGTCTGTCAGCGTTCGTATCTTGGCCGAGACTGAAACAACATTGTTCATAAATTAAAAAAAAATTTTTTAATTTAAAAATTTTTTTGATTTTTTTTAAATTTTAAAGCCATTTTAGACCAAAAAAAAATTTTTAAACTTTTTTTAATTACATGTGTAATATTTAAGAAGGTAGGCCATTCACTTTGAAGCGCCAGTTTTGATACTATACCTAAAATTCAAAAATTCATTTTTATTGTAAAATACGGCGTGGTAATCTTTATAAAAAAATGCTGTAATAACGAGTACATACCCTAACCTACCAAACTCTACTTTACTTTACTCGTCCCTCCCCTGTATTACATCTATACCTACTATCATTTTTTGTCCTGCCATTTTTAATCGACCCCTGTGCTATATACCCTACCTGCTATATATACCTTTGCTCTACCTTATCCCATCCAACCTTGCTTTACCCTACCCTGTATATTACACCTATACCTACTACCATTCCATTTGCATTCAGGTTTACCCTACGTACCCTACCTTACTCTTGCTATACCTTTGCCCTACCCAATACTAGTTCTAATACATCCTCCAACCCAAACCACAATAAACAGTACTACGACCAACCCACCCCCACCCAACCCAAAACAAGGCAGACGGCCGGAAATTAAAGCATAATTAGAGGATTACAGATTGTGAAAGCAACAAACGAATTGAATGTATGAAGTGCGCTTATAAGGGCCAAATAAGGCCGGAGGAAACACGATTCCAAGCCAAAAAACCGCGCCTTAAGGGGCTAACAAGGCAAAACGAAACGGTCCAAAAGATAACAAAGAGCAAATGAAAATTAAACTCAGCCTGAGGGGTTTGGCAAGGATAATGAGGACAAAGGTTGATCTGGAGAGGGGGTTTCTCAAAAAAATTTTGAAAAATTTTAATTTGAGCTACCCTGTTGATATTGAAAAACACTTTTAATTAAGTGCCTGAAGATATAAAATAAACATTTTTAAAAAATTTTTAAGTTTTAACTTAAAAAAAAATTTTTTTTAAATTTACTTTTGATACATTACAAAAAAATTTTTTATTTACCCCCCCCCCCTTTTTTTTAAATAAAAAAATGTAAAACTTCGCCTGACCTATTTAGACACAGCTAAACCAGATTTTCATCTTTTTCATCTTTGCCAAGCCCAAAAGTCAGTGCCCACCTACCGCTTCACTCTCCCAGTCCCCCTCTTTAAGACTAAAACTGCCCTCAATGCACTGATTATTAGACACTAAAATCAAGAGACAGATCAATATATAATCAAAGAAAACATAAGTTACACATAAGGTTTCAAAAATTAGTTTTGATAGAGCGATACGTAATGATGTGGCTTGTGATCAAAATGACGTTACAAAGCTTCGCCAAATGCTAAGAAGCTGTCTCAGTGACAGAAACTAGGCTTAAAAACTCTAATAGCACATACTGCCTCAGCTCTAAAGGTATAATAACTAGATTTATTTTTTCAATAACTGAAAACTCATTGAAAAAACCGTAAAAAAATTACATTTTGACACAATTCGTAGCTAAAAACCACAAAATTTTAAAACTAGCTTTATCTCTAACAACTAAACTATTAATACTTTGGTTCGGCCAGACATTAACAACCTAACACATAACATTAAGAGTTAATGGTGTACATTACATTATCCTAACTTACCCTACCCTGCCATACTATAACATGCCTTACCTACTCTATTATGCTTTGCCATACTTTGACACACCCTACTTTTAGGTGCCGACATAAAGAATCCGCCATTCTTTACAAGAAATTACAGGAAAAATATGGCGGGTTCTTTATGTCAGCACCTAATATACCCCACTCTGCCCAACTTTTTCTTGTTTTACCCAACCTTTTCTGTTCTACCATACCCTTATATTTAAAAACCACTCTTATCACGTTTAGCTTTTTAAACCCTATTATAGTAGCTCACTCGACACCTAGGTGCGCCTCTTCTCTCTACCTATATAGACCATTCCTTAATCCTATTGAATCCACCTGATCCTCAAGTACCATACTTTTCTACTCTGACCCTCAAATATAATACTATACTTTACTAACCTGACCATCCCCCCCCCTCAAAACCCTCATACTAATAACAATAACGGCACAATAAACCAGTCGGTCTCAACAAAAAAAGACAAGAGGATGAAGGATGAGCAAGAAGAATTAGAAGACACTTTCAGAAACCAGCCCATCTTTTTGCGCTTAAAAATTGGCTTCTGGCAGCTGTAAAAGATGCCCAGAAGGCCTGTCATGAGCATGGTGAAGAAAGGATAATAATACTTATGGCAGCAAGTGATTTATTTACTTCCTAACTGCTATTAGTCTGTCTTCCGTTTTTAGCCAAAGAAGATTAACAGAGGAGAGTGAAAAAGTATTGGAAGGGTAGTTAAGCACTGTAAGGGATGATGAATTAGAAAAAGATTTTTTCAAAATTTAAAAAAAATTTAAAATTTAAAAAATAAAAATCAAAAAAATTTTTTTTTTCAATTTTTTATAAAAAATCATTTTTGAAATTCACTTTTTTTCAAATTGCAACACAATGCCAAAAGCGCTAAATACACAAACTATTTTTTGAAAATCACATTTTTTCATTTTTTTCAAAACTAATTAAAAAGACAATTTATTTTTACTACTAAAAACATAAAAATTAAGTTTTAGCAACAAAACAAAGCAATCGTGGTGAGACTCACAACGATTTCCTGAGCTTTGGCATTCTGTTGCAAAAAACTTAAAATGATTTTTATAACATTCTAAATAAAAAACCAGCTGTTGATTCTAAAAATGTGTTCATTAGATTAAAAATACAAATAAGGTCAATCGTTGTAAGAACCGCAACGATTGTCTGAGTTTTGGCATTCTGTTGCACAAAGCTAAAAATGATTTTTTTATGACTACTTTAATAAAAAAGCAGTTAATTATATCTTGTCAAAGCAAATTTTTTTATAAATTTTGTTTGTAAACAAAATTTTTGCGCTTTCGAAAACCATTTTTTACCAATTTTTTCGTATATTAATAAAAAGTCATTTTAGCTAGATTTTAATCCGAAATTGATAAAAAATAATTGTCACGACCCCTTTAATAATGATTTCAGACAAAATGACAAAGAAAAATACTTGACTTCTACTGCAGTAGCATCGTATTTGGCTCACAAACCCCGCGACAACGTTATTCGACTTATGAATAATTTAGAAAGCATACGCTCAGAAAACAATTCCAACATGAATTTATTTACAAATAGGCCTTCTGGGACCACAACGATCCATAAATTTTGTTGTGGCTTTAAAATATTTTTAAAAATTTTGAAAAATTTGAGTTGGAAAGAAAGTTTTTGAAAACCTAGCCCTATCCCAGAACCCTAACTCAGAGCTTTAGCCGTAGCCCAGAAGCATAGCCCAGATCCCTAGCCCTAACCCATAGCCCCAGCCCAGAGCCCTAGACCAGAGCTTTAGTCCAGAGCTTTACCCCAGAGCTCTAGCCCGAGAGCCCTAGCCCAGAGCCCGAGCCCAGAGCCCTAGCCCAGAGACCTAGCCCAAAAGCCCCAGTCTAAAGCTCTAACCTTATTCTTAGCCTAAAGCCTATTCCAAGACCTATAAATCCTAAAAATTAAAAATTTTTGCAAAAACTTTCTTTCCATTGAAAAAATTGAAAAATTTCCATCTTAAATATAAAAAAAAACAAAAACACCACCCCAAATAACAAAAAGCAGTCAAAAGTGCTAAAGTAAAATTTCTAGTCGATAACACTGCTCTTGTTGAAAACTGGTCGATAATCGTATTATCGACCAGTGTTAAACAAAGACCATTGCTTGGTTGTGCGCCTTCGACCAAGAACCTTCACAAAGCCAAACAATTAAAAAAATGAAAGGCATTTTCATCTTCCGCGTAATTATAACCCTCGAATATGGCGTTTTGAGAATAAACAAAACAAATTTTTTCGTTTTTTTCGAATTTTCAAACACAAAACAACAAAATTTTGAACAATAAAGGTTTTCGGGTTTGTGTTTGCTTTATAATATACATCTACAAAAAAACACGGCGTATTTTACATTGAAATATATAGTAGCTATAAAAAATTGCCATTCATATCCAAAGCGAAAAAACTTATTCATCTCACCGTATGAATTACGTGACAGTAATAATAAGCCAGTTTAAGATATATCCAAGGCCGGGCGGGAACTTTTAGTCTGGGGCAGAGGTCGAAAAAATCGGCACAAGGCAGAATTTTTTTTTCCAATAATCCACAGGAAGGACCACGTTCAACTTTTTTCGAAAATTTTTTTTGGGGGGGGGGAGTTAAACTTGATGCCCTCAGTATGAATCTAGTTCTAAAACTCAAAGGGTATTTAGTGCAACTCATTTTTAAAATTATACCCAATTATAAGAGATCTAAAAAAGTGCCCACTAGTTCCGACCTTAAAATTTATTTTTCGTCACGCTTTAAGCGCCACTCTTTTACAAGCCTAGGCGTGGTCCGTTGGCTGCTACCTTCTTAATTATAAAATAAAACAAAAATTTAATTTAATTTCAAAATAAAGTTTCTATAAAACAAAAAAAAATAACTTACATGTTGCTGCTCGGGTCGTGGCCATGATCGAGCTGAAGTCTGAAAGAAAAAGTATTAAGGTTTGAAAATGTCACATAAAAAATTTATAAAAATCTTAAAAAAGGTTTTATATTACTGTTTGCAAACCACTTTTTGATCACTAAACCTGTTAAGAAAGTCCTTGCCATTGTAGGCTTCTGTAAAAAAAGTCTTAGCCGTTTTGCAAGTTGTAAAGAAAGTTTTTGTTATTTTTTGTTTTATAAAGAAAGTTCTTGCCATTTTAAGCTTTTGTAAAGAAAGTTTTTGGCTTTTTATTATCCGTAAAATAAGTTCTTGCCATTTTAAGCTTTTGTAAAGAAAGTTCTTGTCATTTTTCTTTTTGTTAAAAAAGTTTTTGCCATTGTAACTTTTGTAAAGAAAGTTTACGCCAAATACTTCCTAAAACATCTGTTTTTTAATAAATAAATTGTTGCCACT